TTCAAAACTGCTAATTGTTCGGGACGATCATCTTTGGAGGGAAATGTCATGTACGTAATTGGATTCATATCATGATCAGAAAGACGTTTCAATAAGATGTGATTCTTTTGATCTTTGTCTAGAATACTTTGGAGAGTGTTGGACTTGTCCATGGGCAATTTATTTACCAGTCTGCACCCAACCACGTGACCCAATTCGGTATTCAACTGCGCACGCGCACATCAAGACACGACGAGGGATCAGCACAAACTATGTAATGAATATTCATCACCCTCTCAATAACCAAGCACAAAAAAGTTCAAGTCAAGAATTGATGCGCATATCGCAAAAAGATTTTATTCAATCACGGTAATTTCAATTTCATAAACACCTCACATGTCATAAAGGTTAAACACGATCTTCACTGAGCGCGAAATTTATATAATTTATAACTTAATGTATTGTACATTTTAATGAAATACACCTTCCTTTTTCTTGATTTCTTTGATTTTCTATGCATACATGGTATGTATGAAAAAGGTCACAATTTACAACCCTTAAAAATACAAACTTATGTCTGGTATTGTCTTCTCGTCACTGGTCTAAGCTAATACACAAGTTTGGTTAAAATGTAATGAAGAAGAAAGGTGTTAACGAGATGATCAAGATGTAAGGTTTTGCTTAAATTAAAAATATGAAACATGGTTAGTCTTTCGAATAATGCAGCAATATTGTAAAATTAAAATATTAACTTGATAACGATATTGGACGGGGCTACTATTTTCTCAGTCTCGTGGAAAAGCTTGTAGTCAGGTCCTATGTCAATCACAAGGCCATCACAAGTTCATCACCTTTACAAGTCATAAGTCAAATCGCAAGGTCACAAATAAGTCACAGGGTTTTTTTTGACAGCTTACGACTTGAGTTTAGACTTAATGTCTAGTTAAAGACTTGAGACGGACATGCGAGGCCTTTGTTACGACTCATCTTCAACTTTTGACAAATTGCGATAACATATCAGTCATAATCGTGAACACATGGATACTATACTGCGAGCAACAGAGTACCAAATGTCACCAGTAAACCTACGGGCTATGCTTGTTCCTATGGGAAATTGATCGATCGGGTGATTTTGGGTACAGAGCGATCATGAATAACAGTAGTACACTCTAAAAAAAAAAAATTAAAAAGTGTAAATTTATGTTGTGTAAAACTGTTGTGTAAAAAAATTGTCATTTCTGCCAATTAAGCAAAATGACTTTCGCTTGTACTTCCTATTTGTGTCAAATGTGTTACACAATGAAAAGGGTAAAATAGTACCAATAATTTTGACTACAAGTCCCAGCAGCACAGGCAAAAAGTTAAAATCATGGTATTTTTACCCAAGTGATGGGTTAAAGAAACTGGATTTACCCCACCACTGTGTAACAATTCTTTCATTGTACACGTCGAAGAGTAGAATTTACCACGACATTAGTAAAATGTTAGCACTGTGTGGGGTAAACCGACGCACGTGACAAAGTTTACCCAATATTGTGCACGCGTATCACTCATGTACAAGATGGCCGCCGCCTGTGAGACCTTCAACAATTTGGGGATTTTGAAGACGTGATTTCTTTGTTCCAGGTAAGTCAGTGAAATGAATTTCAGTGCTGTTTCCTCCGAATGCGATGCTGATGTATGAGGATTAATATCGGGGAGATTGGAGAAGTGACAAGCTTATTATTTAGACATTTATTTGCAACTTGGACGTCACGGCTCTGCCAATCACGATTCCATGCACATGTTGCATGCGTTTCATGCACCGTATAGTGAGTGTTATTAGATATAGAAACACGGAGTAAAGTGACCTACATTTAGGGAATTGTTTTTGAATGCGTTGATTGAGGGAAATTCTAACACCCCTGCCCATCATTTAGCCCACGCTCCTCGTAATAGTCCTTATGCATCAGCACCATACTTGGGGAAATATCATCTTATTCATTTTACTGACTTTCCAACCCTGGCCTCATTTATTGAAATCCCTCTCGATTGCTGTCTCTAGCATGCAATTCACATTGCAGAGTTCAAAGTTGAATAAAACCGCAAGGATCAATAACAAAGGTACACAACAACTAATTTAAAAACAACCCAAGTGATGGGTAAATTTAGAACCCAACAGTGCAGGGTAAAAATTAGAACCCAATATCTGGGTAAGAAACTGACACAACATTTGGGTAAAAGGAGGGTTGGGTAAAGTTTACCCAATAATTGAGTAAAAATGGAACATGGTCGTCACATGGGTAAACTTTCTTACCCAACTTTGTTTGTGCCAACACGTAACACTTGAGCTGTTGTGTAAAAAAAAACTACACAAGTTGACGACCATGTTCCCTTTTTACTCTCGAAAAGGTAGTAATTTTACCCAATATTGAGCAACTATTTTTTAGAGTGTACTGTTGTAAGTTGCAAACTGCAGCGCTTGGGGATATACATGACGTGAATGTTGCATCACAAAGTGTGATGTAACCATAGTAGTTACAAGTTAAGGTTCTGTGTCTGCATCCTCGTTATAGCCAGGGTAGTCTTACGTTGTGTAAGACGGCCTGGAAAACCGAGTCCCAATCTTTTGTTGATGCGTATCGTCAGCCAATCAGATTCTCTGCGTAGACTTCGTGGCGTTGTCCTATATACGTAATGAATATTCAGGTTTGGAAAACAGGCTCAACTTTGTCAGCCAATTGAAGAGCGCCTTTCTGGACGGTACAGTGCGCTACCATTTTATTTAGTCGATCCATTCTGGGTCAGCTTTTGCAATTGGTCAGTCCCTATTTGGTAGTGTTCATGAATAATTAATCTTACGAGATCAAATTTGGAAAGACATGGACTCGGTTTCCCAGGGTACGGATGTTTCCTTTTGTTTTGGTTCAACCTTGGAAAAGAAAAGCCTGAAACGTGGGAAATGGCAAATCGACAAGAAAATTACGATTTTCTTTTTCGTCATTGCATTATATTTTATTGTTGTAAAGACTAAAAATATGCTCCTTCAACTGTTGCTCTGCCATTCGTTGTCCAATCGGACATTGAGTTGCATAAAAACCTATTAAATAATTATGACCCAAAAATGCCAATAATCCATGACAGTTACTTTAGTTTCTGTTTGCAAAGAGGAAATCATTCGCGATTGCATTTATGAGGGAATGATGGGAGCTTACTATTTGTTTCATATCCAACTGATGATTAATTGAATACGTTAAAGGCATTGTGATTATTTGCATTTATCCCAAAAGTATCATTTCACGGGGTGTTTAGTACCAGTACGATCTTTAATCCAAATAATCTTTTTGATAATTTTCGGTAGGTTATACATACCGAATAACAGTGTAGGTGATTTCCAACGATCAGTCAGTTGACTGATTTTTGGAAATCGGCGAAATGGTCTTTCGTGATCAAATTCTTTATGCGTGGTGTCTCACTGTTTTCTCAAAAAGTGTAATATCCACTGAGCAGAAACTTCAACGGGTTAGGTTTTGAACAGTCTTCTTTGGATTTTGAGTGTTATTATTGAAAACGAACAAAATACATGGAAAGCAAACGATCCTATTATGCATTTAGGAACTAAACGGCACCACCTACATAAAGGATCTATGCTCGGTCGTCCGTCACTGCAGTCAAACCATGACACTTCACGTTGTTTGCATAATACTCTGTCTTCAAATTTCAGTCGGTCGTTCGTCAAGATTAGGCTCATGTTGTTGACAATTTTCATGGGGGCAACGAGAAGTCGATTCCCACCAAATCCCTTTTTTAAAGTTTCATAAAAAAATCATGTGCGGGTGGAAATCTGATAATTTCAAAAACATCCCTGAAACAATAAGTGGTGTCATGATATCTACCACGCATATACAGTAAATCCCATAGCGCGTCGGTTCATCAACCTGGGTGGGTTGAAGTGCGTGGGTTTTGCGTCAACTTAATCTACTGGGGCCATTTCCACACAGCTGCCAGCACACTAGAACATTGCTAAGTACCGAAGTGTGCTTAGCCCAACATGCAATTTCCTCACTCAGGAAGTCTGGTTACCACACAGCCTGAAATTCACTCAATGTATAATTGCTTGTGGATGGTTCTCGGCCGATTTTGGCTTACTGTAAGGCCAAAAAAAAAAATACTCGGTTTCTGGTCAGCGCGCGCGTCGATTTTAATCATGCGCGTCAACCTTTTTTTTTCTTCAAATTAACACGGAAGCTACAAGAGCGCCCTCTATTGCCGCGCCTCCTCAAATTTTTGTACCGAGGAGCACCAAGGAATGGTGAAATTGCACCAAGGCAAATGATAAAGGGCACCAAGGCAAATTATGGAGGATATCAATGTATAATGAGGACACAAAAAAGCAAAATAGTACCCACCTTGTCTGTACAATACAAGCATGAAAAATAAAAAGCCACAAAAAAAACCCGCGTCGCCGCATCAATTCCGGAACTTCGGTCTGACCAGAGACCGACTTTTTTTTCCTTGGCCTAAGACCTAAATTTGCCGAGCCGTGTTTTTCTGCTAGCAGTTCAATGAGATTGCCCCTAAAGGTTTCCTCCCACAGGTCGTACTGACGTACACACGTCCTTCACTCACGCTCATGTGTGAACTCGGCCTTTTTGGGTGAAGAAATTGCGGTGTGTGTTTTTTGTTAAGACTGAAAAACCGCTGGGGACAAAAACCTGCATGTTGATCACGATGAATGATCGTTTGAATACAATTCAGACAAATTGAGACAACAAACTTTTACAATGAAAGACGTCAGATTTTTGGCTAGCTGTGGTAAACATAACATTAATTTCAGGAACTTGACGTGATATTATTGTTTGCTTTTTGTGTGTGAATATTCTGGTCTGAAATTGTAAATATTTTCTTCGTATTATAAAGGTTCTCGGTTCTTGCAAATCTGGTCAAAGTTTGTTCGCGTCTCACTCGATTCGCCATAATTTTCAACAAGGCACTTTCGTTCTCTAAAATACTTTAACAAAGAGTGCACTTGAGTTCAAATATTGATCCTCGCTTAAATTCTCAATAGTCATTGCATTTTAATAAGCATCATACTCTATAAGATATGTCGTTGCAAGAACAACTCCAAAATGTCATTTTTCATGGACTAGTTGAACAATTTATTTAAAACCACAAAAAACACGGACTTTATGAAAAGAAAACAAAGGCCGTGGTCGTTCGTCAGTCGTCGTGTCATTTTTTTTGCAGAGTTAAGGATTATTTTGCATTACTAATGTGGCAACATTGAAATGAGACAAAACGGCGGCTTGTATTCCAGACCAATGCAAAGGGCACAGTAAGGCAGAGTTGCATTAGTCTCAACTGCAGCGACTGTTTGCGACATCTAGTTTTTTTGTGATCATGATCTCTGCATGCGTCCATTACGATGTGTTTCGAAGTTAGGCCGTTTCAGTATTTTTTGGTTTCGCATTTATAATTTGCTAGGTGTTTTCTGCATGCAGACTCACAAAAAGGGAATGAACAAGGCCGGTTCATATTAATATATACTCGGTGCGAAAGAGCACGCGAATGCGACTTTGGGACGTTATGTCAAATATTCGCGCTGTGAATTCTCAAAAGTTGAAAACATTTCATTTTCCTGAAGTCAAATTCGCTTCGCATTCGCAGCTTTTAGACTTTGGACAGTTATTTAGTGAATTTATTTGCCTTTTTCATAACAGAAGTCCAAATCTTTTTTGGTAGTGTTCGTTGGTCATTTTATTTTAGCCACGTCTAATACACATTCGTCAGAGTCGGTCACATGATCTTGGCTGCGTAATAAGTCGAGGATTCGTTGGTCAGTATGGTCGGTCCGTCAGTATATTATGGTTTGGGTTTTGGGTTCTTTTATCAGTCCATACAATATAAATTCTTCGTCAGTCCGTCTTGTTCCTCTGTGTGCAACGTGATTTCTTCAGCAAACCATTCAATTCAAACTCTAAGGCAAAACTCATGACTTTTTTTCTCCAACGCAAACGCAGAAGGAGTAAATCAACCCAACTATCGACAGGTAGTGTGAACATTCCTCAATATACGCGAAAATTGTCCGCAGCACAAAACGCGGCTCGCACGATGAAATTAAAATATCCGCGGCATGAAACGCGGCTGGCAAGTAAAATTAAAAGCCACTATGTAATGAATCTTAAAATTCAAATCTTAAGCAAAACACACAACAATTTCATTCTACACTGGTATAACCCGAAACTCTGCTTATTTTCAGGAAACAATTACAAAAAAAAGTCGGTCAAAAAAGTCTTTCAAATCGTCAACTCGTCAATATATATATTTCTTTAGGATACTCTTGTTCTAATAAGCAATGTTACAAAACAGGTATAGGGAATATTTCAAAGTCAAGTAAGTCAGTCAGTCGGTCTTTTGATCGTGTATAGAAAAAAAATGATTAATGCAATCAATCCGTCACCTATAAAGCTCGCCCAAATGTTACGGTGTAAGACAGTCTTAACGGTTAATGTGGTAGTAATAAATTAATACTTAGTATACATAATCCTACTTGGTATTTACTAATTTAACAATACAGATATAATATAGGTTTTCTCATTAATTTGTACATAGCACTTGTAATTTGTATCTGATATAAAAAAAAAATACACATCGATGTTCGTCGGTGAGACCGAGAAGGATATTTGGCAAATTGTGCTTAAACTAAGTCTGAAAGGTCGGGACCAATACTCGATAACTGGGATTTTCCAGTGATGCTTCTTGTGGACCAGATCATTTCCCAACTCCCACCGCATGCTATACTGACACTGCAGTAGTTATTATTAAAAAGCGAGAATCTTACAATTCCTGGTAAGCTATAACACAATGGCTTTGCACATGCTGCCGGCGAGAAGAAATAAAGAACATCCGTTGGGCCTAAATTGGCTGTCTTTACATAATGATCGCTTCAAGGAAACCCTCAATGTTATAAAAAAAAAAAAATTAAAAAAAATTACGAATTATCGAGAAAACTCAATTACTTGGCGTTAGATTCCCCGTTAACTTATTCTATGTGTATGACAACTACAGGTTTCATTATGCTCTTTTTTGTCTTTTTAAATTCAGTTTTTTTCCCTCTCGTAGTCCAAGGCTTATCATTTCCTGCGGGATCCTCTGGCGAAATGAGAATTTAAAAAATAAATAAATATCATATCTCTGTATCCTTGTTTTACTGCTCACAGCAAGGTGTCCTGTGCAACTTCTCGAGGGACGGCTTATCACACCGACTCATCAGAAGACGAAGAAACCGAGGCGCCTTGTCCCTGGTGCCATGGCGTCATTGCTATAGCCGTTATCTGATGATGAAGCCAAGGTGCTACGATAGCCTCGTCATCAAGTCCAGTGTGAATGTCCGATGCCATCTTTGTTTTTTTTGGCGATTGCAATCAGCTCAGACACGAGCGGAAATCCGATCGTGTAGAGGTCACGCAGAGGGCAGCGATTCTGCAGATAAGGCTATTAAAGATCACATTAGTCTATCACCAATGCGACCTTTGCTCTACGTGTGTTATCGTCTAAGACAATATTTTGTTTTAAAGACTCCTTCAGCCCTTGAGAGTCCAGATTTTGCTGACAAGAGTGACCAGTGACGTCGTTTCCCCTGACCAGTAAATTGTGGTTTTTCATAATCCGTCGACTACGTCAACAATGATCGCAATCACGTCTCGTTTTTTTATCAACAGCGGAAGCAGACGGGGTATCCAACTACACGTTATCTTGGCGTTTTGGGAGGAAAATGACATTTTCCTTGACACTAGATAAGATTCGTTTGCGGTGCAAATATTTCACACAGGATTGAAGAAAAAATGAATACCCCTGCCGGATGACATGCTTATACGAGTTGAAATCTTTTCAGTTGGAATCTTCCCTTAGCTGGACTGACGCACATAATCTAAAATGAGAACATTTTTTTTTCTCCTCGGTAATGTTCACGCTACATCAAGCAGGTGCTCTAATAAGTCCCAAAGCAATTCACGGCTGCACAGTAATCCATAAGCTTTTTCCAAAAATAGCACGTCACGTACTACCCCTGGAGGAAAAGTGGGTGACATTTCGGCTGAAATCCGAAGCAGAAAGGGAAGAGAAACATAAAGGTCGAGTTCCCTGGTCGATGAAAGTCGCAAAAAAATACCGATCAGGTCTGATTTGCGGCAGGGCCTCCTTTGCAGGAGGTCACGTTCGAGGGGCCGCGCGCGGTGTTTTTCCCCCCGGAAGCGTTAAGGATAAGGGGAGCGGGGTGAGATGCTTGACAAGCTCCTTTTTGGAATTTGATCCAAGTAATCGTTGGGTTGTTCCCTAGATATCAATTCCAAGAAGAGATTTTTCAATCCGTAACGACGCTGAGCACTTCCTGTAAATCACTTGAGAAGATTGAAGTTAAAACATAGAATGTTCACTAGAAATGTTCGCCGTCAAAGACACGCACTGTAGAACTTTTCGATGTTATCGTCAGGAAGTACACTATGGAGGGTTATCGTACTTTTGCCATTTCCATTAGTTGATGTTGTCTCTTGATAAGTTCGGAGTGAACACTTAGAGAATATTCACCACAATGTTCACTGTCAAAGACACTGTAGATTTGCGAACCGTTGACGGTGATATTTTGTCAAGAAGAACACGTTCGAGAAGATAGAAGCAGAATCTTTAATTTGTACAGGCCGGGTAGTAGTATTTACAATGAAGAGCGAGATAGTTCAGCACGAATGGATAGTTTTTTTTGTTCAGATTTTGGCTTCGCTGGAGCGTTCCCGCTCGTCCTGCACCACGGTGCTGTACTCTCCGCCGATGACCACGCTCCGCGTCCGCTCCTCGCACGGGCCGTTCCGCGTGCCCTGCCGCCCGTTGATGTTGGACATGACGCGGGTGCCCACCTCCTCCGGCGCGTAACCGTAGATGATTCTCAAAACCTTTGGTTTTGTTTTTTGGGGGAAAATCACCGAAACAAAAATGATTAACCAAGATAATAACACAACGTGCCGTTTGTGCATGGTGTTGTTGAAAGAGAAACTGCACTGGGAAGATTTGACCACGTGGATGGGTTTTCATGCAAAAGATTGCAGCAACCTATACGTAGCAACGACGGTTTATGAAAGGTTAGCCTCGATTGGGATTCGATATGGCGGTTCCATGCGAAGAGTGAATACTGTACAAAGTCCACAAGCATGTTCATGCACCTGCAGCTTATGCTTAGCATTTTTTTTTTTTTACTTACGACAGGTTCTTGTGCTTAAAAACTTCATGGAATTTACCCCTCATCAGAAACTGATATTCAGCGATGATTTAAAGTCTACAGCTACAACTACAACCAGTAACAAGAAAGCAAAGCTATGGGAAAATGAGTGGCAAGACTTACTGCTGGACAGAGTGCAAGCCCAGAGTTGAAATTAAAGCTGCATGCATGCATGTCTCTAATAACTATAATACGGGCGCCACGATCAGTGACACGATTTAACATCAATTCCTATTAGTTCAAGGATGCTTTAGTGACGGGACGCGAAATAAAACTGACAGATTTGGGGCATCAAAGGGCCATGCTGGTGTCGGGAAAGGTCGGGACAGGCTTTGCGATATTAACCATCATGCAGACACGGCATTTGCACATCCATCGCTGTCAAGCTGGTGTGAATGTATTTCTACAAAAGTTGTTTATGCTTGTGAAACAGCAAACATGACATGAAGCAGCACACGAACGACCATGCACGATTGGCGTTAATCCGTTCAGAAAACCAAGTGATTTCATCCATTTTAATACAATTAGGCATTATTTCTTCCCCTGCGTTCGTCAGGTACACTTTGGGACAGATTATTCCAAGGTTTGGTAAAAGTGTGCTCGAATCACTACTCAACATCGCTTGTTTTTGGCCGCATTGTGATGATTTGGGTCAATCTATAAATTTACGGTCCAATGTGTGACAATTTCCTGTCCCCGTTACTATGTCATAATTGTCATTCAAATATAATTGAAAATGACTTCAAACAATGTTTTATTTGTTGGGTAGGTAGTTTGCTGTTCATAATCACTCTTGAAGGACGCCCGCATTAAGGAGTGCATCAGATTTTTATAATCATAGATGTCAGATGTAACTGGGGAAAATGCACCCCAAATTCACAGAATGACCCCTTGCAATAGCAATTGCATTAAATGTTGTATCATTGCTATCAACCATAACAATTTCTAAATTGGGCTTCTAGAAATTTTAGCCTTGCAAGCGACTTTCGGATTTTGTTAATTTTTTTACCGTATATTAAAATGGATTGAAGGGTGAGCAGAACATATTTCCCCAGGGCCCAAAGTAAGTGTTGGTGTGCCAGCTTTTTCAAGATTAAAAACATTCAAGCAACTTCGCTTTCTCACCTTGGGAAGAAATAGTAGACATAACGTGAGCGTGGTACAAAAGATGATGAGGCCGCCGACTATGGCGTACGTGTAGCCGCTGTTGTCAGCCAGGAGGTACGACAGCGGCACCCCCAGCCCGCTGAAAATCACCACGTTGTAGATGGACAGCCCGATGTATTTGCTGTCGTTCAGGGCCGGTATGTTCACATTTCTGGCGGGATAGGGAGTTAATAAATGATCGGCGAGGAAAGAAATGAAACCCAATTCAGATGGAAGTGAATTATGGAAGTGTACAGATATGATATTTCCAACCGTTGGTTCAACCTGAAAAAAGGCAATATACCTTAATCACGAGGAAGCCATTTTGGATCGTGTTCCCTGAATGTATTTTATAAATTGTAAACTGTTGAATCGGATGGTGCCAGACAATAATTTATGCATTCCAAGCCTCAATGTTTTTTAACAATGTGGTTTAAAATATTACGGTATGTTTACAGAGCATACTGGTATCAGTTCGTAGCTAACTTTGTTTCATTGCTTTCATATCGTTCCGCAAGTTCCAAAAATGAAGATTTTACCTCAATTTCAATATTTAGTAAGGCCGACTCGTGAATCAAGCCTATAGGCAACTTCTTGCCGAATATTGGTTAAATTTTCTTTAAATTCCATCACTACTAGGCGACTTTGTTCCCACAATTTGGTGTTATTTTACTTAAATTACTATAAGCAAAAACAATACCAAACGTGCATGAATCTCGTGTCTAATTGCATGCCCTTTCCAGACGCTACGGTATGAGAAGTTCACATGTGAGTGCGATCGATTATTTTATAGGCATTGTGAAGATACCAAAGTCGGGTAAGGAATTTGCAATTCATCAACGATAATTACGAAGAGAAACTCAGTCTACATTTACTGAGCTTTAGTCAATGTCACCGATCAAGTCAATTTCTATGCTCAACCTAACACTAAACACGATTACAAACCATCAATTAACATTTCTCAATTTGTTTTACATTTTAATAAGAATTACATTTTGGGTCGATCGTCCACATATAACAGCTCAACAGCGCAAGGAAATCTCAATGACTGTTTTATTTTCTCAATCATTAATCATTTTAAGTCACAATATTAAAAATTACCTTGTTTGCCAGACTATGAATGTGCCAAAGACAAGCAGGAGACCTTTGTAGATGTAGACGGTCCATATGAAGTACGTAGACAGGTTGCCCGAACAGTTGTGCTGCTGTAGAACCACTATGGTGTTCGGTCTCTCTGGGTCATCCTTTAGAATGACAAAGAAGAAAAGCTCAACAAAAGATCGAATAATATCAGATACTGTGGGTAAAGCGTTGACTTATTAGCAGCAGTCTGTCAATAAGTCACAGATGTGTGCTGTGGAAGAACCACTATGTTCGGTCTCTCTGGGTCGTTCTTTAGAGTGACAAATAAAAGAGGCTCACCAAACCATCGCATAATACCAAATTTGTTGGGTAAAAGTCAATGTGTCAAAGATGTGTGCTGTGAAAGAAGCACTATGTTCGGTCTCTCTATGTCGTCCTTTATAAGAGACAGTGAGAAAAAGCTTCACCAAAAAGCGAATCATGCGAGAAATTGTGGGTAAAGCTATGACTTCTTGGTGTAAGGCCGTCAATACGTCAAAGACTTGTGCTTTTGAAGAGCCACTATGATGTTCGGTCTCTTTGGGTCACCCTTTAGAGTAACAGAGACAAAAACAAGTTGACCAAAAAATCGAATTATGCGATAAACTGGAGGCTAAACTTTGACTTATTGAAAGAAGACTGCACCTACGTAAACACACCAATGGAGCGGAAGGTTCATTTCAAGAGGCTGAATAGCACATACATTTATTAAGCACAGAAAATAATATTGGCTTAGAAGAAACCAAGGTCACCAGCCAACATTTTCACGAGATGTCAATTGCATTTGACTGATCCCCACGCTGACTTTTTTGCGAAACATGTACATTTTGCAATGCAATGATTAGTTGCTGCGTAGGAGTTATATGAAATTGCGCCCAGGCCACGTCGCTTAGGAAACTGCATCCGTCCATCCATCCATTAATCCTCACTGTTGTGGACTCGGGCACGTATAAGAACAACATGGAAATGTGAAGGAAAAAAATGTCCAGACGAGAAATGCAAAATATCAAGATGGAAATGTCAATGCCCAGAGGAAAATGTAAAATGTGAAATGTCAAGCTTCTGTTCTAGATGTTGTTTTAAGCACATGCATGTATTCTGAATATCGAGTATCCGTGAAACAAAACCCACCGCATTGAAGTCGGTTGAACTATAAATACGAGCTCGCTATAATACACAGGAATATTTTAGGTTTATGACGAATATATCCACGGACTTCGGCCGGTGGTTGCCTACCTTTTCGCTGAGTACTTTGATCGTGACCGCCACGGTGTCTAAGATCTGCCATAGAGCCAGGATCGCGATGTCTATGAGCAGGAGAACGCCCACCATCGCGAACAGCCGATAATCTTTGATAACCTGATAAAATGAGATTAAAACTAGTGAAAGCAACCCCTATCGTTTATTTAATTATTCCTAATTCATGTATTTCGCTTAGTTTCGTTCTTGGCCTTCATTTTCACCCTTTACTAATATTATGGGAACATTGGGGAGTCAGGTTGGCGTAGTGGTACTTTCCTCGCCTTCCATCGCTGTGACACGGGTTCGAATCCCGCCTGGGGTAACACGTGGATTGGGTTTTTAGGGATTCCGTGGGTTTCCTCAGAATATTCTTCTAGGGTTTTCTTCCCACCTCTTAAACTGTACTTTCTTCTCATTGTTTCGTCTCTACATGTTTCTTCAGGCTTGCGAGCTACAGTGCCTAGGGACGCTTTTGTGGAATACTTGGTGTCATTACCAGAAATATATAATATTAACAATAATTATAATAATAATTTTTCAGGACAAGTCTACCAGGACGTGTCCTCTAACCGGGGAATTTGTCTTTAGTGTTTCTGTTTGATCTTATATCCCACAGGTTTGGCAGTTGTTTGTTACCGGAACGTCAATTGGGAACGTCTATTGTGTAGTCTGTCATTATTGGATTTATTATAAACACTGTACACACACATAGGCCTACTGGAATTTGTATCCTTGTGGAGTCATTTCTTTGTTCTCGTGTACTACAAGTTTAGGAAAGCGTAGTTTCGAAATGCTCCTATTTTAACCAGAATTAATTTCCTTGGTTGAAATTTGGACTTAATATCCCTTACATAAAATACTTCAATTTGCGACGGATCAACACACCTTAGAAATTCCTACTTTTTGAGTAAAATCCATATATCTATTTCGTGATAACCTTGTGGAGACGTATTCACCTATAGAAATTGCCCTGTGGAGACGTATACAATCTTTTGTTCCCTATTATGTTCACATTATGTCTCCACAGGGTGCCGTGTACCAGATCTCAGTGATTCACAAACTACACGGGTGGGACTTGAACCCCAGACCTCCTGCTTACCAGTTCAGTACAGTCTCAAAACTCTCACAATCACAGTGTTTAAAATAAAAAACGTCAGTGAAGACCAAAAATAAAAACACTGAATTTACACCACACCGACGCACATTCCATCTTATGAATAGTCAACGATACGTCCCTACATACGAAGGGCAGCTCAAAGTACCTTGTAAAGCCCTCTAGATTTATTTGAATATAGATGGCCATTAAACAGTTTGTGGTGGGTTTCCTTATTCATATAGTGACCTTTACCAATTCTGGACTGACCACATGTTACGTTTCCACAAATGAAAATGAATAAAACTGCTGCAAACGGCTTGCCGACTGGATTGACCTGATGCATACAAATCAACAAATTCAGAGCGCCTAACGTTTAGGCCTTAACAGGACCTTTCTCAAATTCAAAATGACAGTGGTACAGAAACAAACAAGCATAGGGGACAAACAAGCATGGATGGGAGGAAAAACACAAATGAGGCATTGTATAGGCGTCATGTATGGCTTTACGATAGAGGACAGACCGACGCAATGGGGCAACAAAAGATCCTTTCAGTCCTCGAGCGTTATGTCTTTTGTTGAAAACGTTCCTCGATCGTAAGGTTATGTGCTTAATCTAAGGGATATAGTGTTATATTACAGGGACAAAAGGGAAACACAAGGCATTGTCCTTGGGCGTATAGAAATTCACGTCTGTATAACCAAATGAGTGTGGCAGTTGGTGAAGATCAAAGGGAATGAAGAGAGGGGATGGGGCAGGGGAAGTAACAAAGGAGTGTGGCGGTGGTGGGGAAGATCCAAAGCACAAATCTCAGGCATACCCGTTTTTGTAATTTCTTGTTGGTAAAAATGCTGTAAACGCGCCAGGTCTTCGAGAACATAGCTCCAAAGGACAGAGTGAAACTGATGCCAAACAGCCATGCCCGAACCTGGGAACAAAGGGAAAAGACACACATAGTCAATGTACATAATAAAAAAGAAGCCCAAATGGATTTTACAGGCCTAATACCCAGGTTACACGGCTGTACAAATTCATTGCACCTGTGCACTATGTTGCGCAGTCTTTCGCCAATCTCGTTCCCTGAGCCCACTTTCGTTGAGCTGCTAAGCAGAAAAAATATTGCTAAGCAATTAACATGCTGAGCAAAAATCAGCCACGAACCTGTCACCTTCCGTAAACAGAATATGAAATCTGGTAATGAAATTTCTGTTTTGAGGCCCATTCAGAGGTAGGATGGGAATGGTCCAATGTATTTGCACTTCAAGTCAATGTTAGAATCGAGACATGGTATACAGGGTGCTAGACAATTTAGAGAAAATTGCAACATTTGGAATGCACGAATAAAGGTATTCCTTCGTATCGTAAAACTAATATAAGTGAACATAAATTGATGTATAGACAATGGAAACTAAAAACCAGTGACGGATCTAGAGGGGTGGGACTTGCACCCCCTCCCCCCCCCCCCCCCCCCCCCCCCGTTCAACTGCTGACTAATGATATGATACTAGTACAATGGGGCGGCACATAACAAATGGAATGCTACAGTTACTAAATTCATTCTCAAATTGCCTTAGAGCGCAGAAGAAACAGAAAGCATCGTAGATTTCTAAATTTTCCGGGGACCCCCCATAGCACTTCACCCAACTCCAATCCCCCACCCCCGTTTCCTGGAAGCTAGATCCCCCCCCCCCCCCGCTGCAAACAACGTTTTGTTCAGAGCTATTTCGCAGACGACTATACGGTCACTGGCACGGCATTCAACTTCAAGTTAATTCAATCATTTTGTTTCCCTTCTTCTCGAGATTCACAGAGAACTAAAAAAAAAGTTGAGTGCCTCTATTCCGATATCTGTTAATACCAACGACTTAGTCTAAGTGTTCTAAGTGCAAAAAAATAACTGCACTTCTTCCGATCGTTTTCTTTGCACGTCTCTCTCCATAAGCACTTTGTGATATTTTTAATGGTTCTCGTCTCTACAGAACGCCATGGGCGAAGAAATCCGAGCCCAATCGCCCGTTGGCCAATTTAAACGATGCTATACGAGAGAAGTTGGATTTCCCACTGAATGACATGGCGTCTCTGACCCTTTAATGAAGTTTATGACTTCATTAACACTCCATCTCTAAGGTTTTGTACTGTCTCTGAGTTTGTTTGTACGTGTCGCTGTGTTCTGCATTTGGTCTCGTTTCTTGTCACAGTCGTAATGATCTGCATGTTTTCTTACTCTTGCTTTCTACTGATGTTTCTGGGGAATCTAGTTTTTACCTCCTCCAAGGAGGTTAAATTTTCATCGGATTTTGTTTGTTGGTTTGTTGGTTGGTTTGTTTGTCTAACAAGATAACTCTAAAAGTTATGGACGGATTTGCATGACAATATTTTTAGGAGTGGTCTTTGGTACAAGGACACATCCATTGGATTTTGGAAGTGATCCGGATCTGGGTCTGGGTCTCGGTCTTTTAAAGGATTCTTCTCCATTTATGCGAGTATTTCTTGTAGGTGTACTGGCAATATGGCGGAGAATTGCTTAGCCTTGGCGGAGGTTTGCGCTCTCTGAGTGCTTTCTAGTTTCTTTGGGTTTTTTTCCGTTTCTTTAGGCAATCACAAACTTCCGCTTCTTGGTATTTCGGTGTCGTTGTTTCCCCTACGTTTTGTAACGTAGTTCTTTACAACCTTCAGCTTTAAAAAAAAAAAAATAACTCCGTGCATTCTCATTTCATCATGATAGTCTTGCTTTGTATAATTCGACATTTAATTGCTTGTCAAAAAATCTGAACCAAGAAAACCAACGTCTTGTTGAATTATGAAAACCATTAAATCATAATCCAAGCGACTGAACTGCCATTTTGTTTACACCTAACTCCGTAAGTCTGTTTGTATTCATATTCCATATCTTCTCAAGTTTGCCACTGTGTGTAATGTCAGTTATGAGTGTCATTTAAACAATGTTATGCAGACCATAGATATCTGAAGAATTTCTTCTTATGTGATGCAGACACACACACGCACGCCAAACGGGTCGTCGACGCGCGCCAGATGTGTCAGTGAGTGCGCACACGTGCAACTCGGCACGATTCGGTCCACTTGCAAGACCGCGGGCTGTTTCACGGGATGACTCGAACCAAAAGGGAAGGGTCATCGATAGGTAACTTCGTTGAGGCAAGCCCGGTAGTGCATGAGATCTGTCGTAAACATATCAGTACAGTGTATCTAGAAGGTTGTTTTTCCCCTCCATCCGCTACAGGGATGACAGATAAGAATGATCTGCATATAGCACGATACTTTCATCGGTATAGCTAACCTTAAGTTGAGCATTCCCAAATTGACACGTATACACTCTGAAACAGTTTTATATTAAAAATTCCAAAATGGTAGTCATTAATCACCATAACGACGCACACCTTTATGCACCATCACCTACAACATAATACCCCACCTATCAACGCGTTTAAAGAATAGCCCGCAAAGCTGCGGTACATTTGAAAAGACAGTTCGTTAACCTTTACACATTATTCAGCCAATATGCATGCCAACACAAGGTTTTTAACATTTTCTTTATACCAATGTTGCTCAGTTATTCATGACTGCGGGGATATGCACGTAGGGCATTAATGGAAAGCTGATAAACCCTCCATTATGCTGCAACCATCCTGGAAGATTTAACATCTACATCTCATAATTTAAAATAGAAATACATGTACCTTAATATTTCTGAAAATCCTGATTTTTGTTCTGGTTTTTTTGATTGGTGCTAGAATTGAAAACTTTTTGAAGACGCTTGGTGGCATGGCAGCAAAATACACCGGTCCTTTTGCAATTTGCTTACGTCATTTTGAACATGCGCACATTAGCTTGAACATGACCATAAACAACTGAAAATAACCGTTGTGTGTGCGACACCATGCGTCTGAAAAGTCTCCCATTATCATGGGCGTCGCCAGGATTGTTTCGGGGGGGGGGGCAAAGCACATTATTTCTAAAAAGAAATCCTTGTACGTTCTCCAGCATATTCTAAATTAATCATTGTTTTCGAGGGTGGACGGGGGACATTTGCCAACCCCACCCACATTGATACCCCTGCGGTCGCCCCTGTTGTTAAATGTGTATTAAATTAACAGCAATATGACTTCCCAACTCCTCTTCTTTTTTCCCTTCTTATTTTTTTTGGGGGGATGCCTTTCCGGGGGCACCCCCCAGCCCCATCCTGGCGACGCCCATGTCCATTATGCACACATTGCTCACTTGTGGATGGGTCGCAATCAACTACAATGGATGGGGGTTAATACAGTGTGGCTTGGCAAGGAAAATTTATTTAAACATACATAGAAAACGTGATAGAATCTCGATTTCACAAAGTCGACTCTCTTAGATTAAGTACCTGACACATTATCTGCAGTTGCCCATCACTGAGTAGTCTGGCGTCCACTCCCAGTAGGATGGCCGTCCCGTACGTCATGATGCATCCCACAATGATGAGATCGTTGAGGTTGGGACTAGACATCTTGATCAGCCTGTGGCAAGGATGGGAATCAAATTTCAAATTAGCATATCTCAGTTGAATAACCAAAAAAAAACAGAAAAACAAGCAGGCAACTTTGTATTTTTTTCTTTAATGTACGATGCGCTATCGAAATGTTACAAAAACACTGGCTCTTTACAATAACAAGAGTAGGGAAAAGAAGCTTTTGAAATTTGAAGCATCTTTACTTGTTTGTATATAGCATGTCTGAGTTAAAACAAAACAGGGGGAAACATGCAGGACATTTTGTCTTTTATTGTCTTTAAAGGATACGATGTGCTGCCAAAATGTTAAAAGTGTGAGAATTCATACTATTCATTGAAGTGATACTTTCAAAGTAGATATTCTTGGTTGCATGCTTGTCAAAATACTTGCGTTCTCAGGTTTGTTTGCTAGAGAAAAGATTGCTTGTGACCGTGCATACATAAAATAATAAATTGCTTCAACTTTCCAAAATTGATGCTTGCAGCAACATCACGGTGCTCGACTGCACCACATCGGGACGCATCAAAGAGACGTTTCGTACATTGAAAATTAGAACTTATTTAGTATGTTTACGGAGCAGTTCAGATTCGTATTTTAAGATTTAAAAAAAAAATACATCTGACTATTTTATATGTTCACATTTTTTGGAAGAAACTAATTTACAGATGGCTTCATGCATTTTGTAGGTTTTTGATATCGGTTTTCATTTTATTACTCACGCTCCGTATTTCTCCATTATTAATAGGCTTCTTTCAACTGAACAGAGCTCATACAAATGCAATCTGGCTGTATCAGTGTTGAGAGCTGTATTTTGCATTCCGTATTACGGGATCTATGGGCCTCCAGCTTCCCTACCGAATCTGTTAACAAGGACTTGTTGCCATTTCCCGACGACAATTATTTCAAGTCGATGGAAATAATAGGATCAATTTACAATTTCCGCGGATAGGATTTGTAGGGAATACGAATATTTATTAACGAACGCGCATAATACTGCGGATATTATTCATGTAAATCCTTTCGATTGAAAAACAAAATCAACACGGGAAACACTTCAGTAAGTAAGACAACCAGGATCTGGCTTGCTAGAATTAAACCCACTTTGATGGACCTAACTCGGTGATATTTAGACTAGACACAGCGGACAGTGATCCCTTTGGAATGACGTGTACTGCCTGTGCGGCAGGAACCCCAAAGGGGAAAAAAGAGGAGGATTTCTTCGGAATATCGGACGAGCTATTTACAGCTGATCCGCCGGTGGTGCACAGCTGTGTATATAGGTGAGATGCCCGAGGGCAAACTGCAACCCTGGTATCGCCTTTTTTTTCTTGTTCCGTGGCTAGATGACAAGTGCAAATGCAGAGAAAATGTGTGACGCCTGAAGTTGATCTACCGACCAGCCACTCGAAAGACACCGCCGGGACACTGAATCTTTCTTTTAGCCAGAACGTCCCGACAATCGATCTGAAACCGATGACCACTCCACGTTGCGCAGTGATGGGGACGGAACACTGCAATTACGGCCTTCCACATGTGACGGGTGCGCTCCTAAAACATCGATTTTTTTTCTTCTCCGGCCAAATCGAGGCTGATAGGCCTGTGCGCGTTCGAATCAGAAGTAAAATGCGAAGAGATCCTCAGTTTGTCTTTACGTCAAACTAACTATGGCCACAAGTCATTTTGTTTGGAGATCAACATGATGTCCTCCTTTCTGCCTATGTCAGTACATGTAACATGTCTAGTACGGTGCCCTGTTTCTACATCTTGTGCAAATTACAAATTTGAGTTGTCCAAAACAGAACGCTGCTATTATCACCGTGATGCGGGGAAGGTCGTTGTGCAGCTACTTCAAGCTCTCAGCTGGAATGATCTGCTGTTCTGATCAAAATATTCCAGACAAAAAAGGCCTGAACTTGAGGTCAACAAAATGAGAAAAAAAACCGGGATACAGCCCGTGACGATGTATTATTATGTAATGAATATGAAATCTAGGACCACAAAACATCAACAGTAACACCTTTGGAAGCGTAACAAACAAGTGGGATATAAAGGCATGTCCTTCTTTTAAAAATAGTTTTTTAAATGTCTTTTTAAAACAAAACCAAAAAAAGGGATCAGTTAAAATAATAACAATTACCAGAAATCAGCGAGCAGAATAATGTCCAGCTCAAAATACGCTATTAAAGGTACAATAGGATTTGCTTTTCGTGCTGTTTTCGTTTGAAGCAAAACAAATTGTTCAAAACTGTAAGAAGGGTGCATACCAGCTAACCTGTCGAGGCTACAGCTCATTGCTACTAGACATGTTGAAAAAAAACCAGAGAAAACGTATGCAGAAACTCAATTCCATTGTTAACGCACATAACAAAAAAAAATGTATGCCCAGGGACCACTTTCTTTTACCACCTTGATTTTTTTCTCCGACTGATATTATTCCTGGAGGAATAATTTCACAGGGTATTTTGTCCTGTCTTCCCTTTGAGCAAGGATTTTCTCGTTAAATCAGTCTATGTACGTCGCAAAATGTTCCTATGTACCTTTCATGACATTTTCTATATGCGTTAGCCCTTGTGCAGCAGGCTATTTCATCGTGAACTCTATAAATCCACGAGATACAACCACTGCCGTCCCATCCCCGGGCGGGACTATATGATCGTCATCGCCCAATCTCTTTTCAAGGATTTTTCGAAGTAGAAACGGTAATATTCCGCAGCCGCCCTGCAGTAGATTTGTATGAATAACTAATAAACCAGAATTTTTTATATCTGTGCCACGGACATGACTAGTGGCTGATGCCTTGGTGATGGCAAGGACGAACTGAAATTGAATCAGGTGTTGTTTTCCCCTTTTCGTTTCCCCAAGCTATTCCTGGACGATATTATGTTTTTTTTTCTGCAACCAAGTATAGTTATGCGCATGCGTCAGTTGGTAACGGAATGGTTCTGGGACTTAACTTCCGTTAAAAAAAACCCTCAAGAAGTCAGAAAATGTCAAATTTATTTCATCCATCAGTAGGACTTAATTAAAACACAACTAAAAAAAATTTACATGGGGGAAGATAAAACATTAACTTCCGGAGACTCAAACCCGCACTGCCTGGAAACAGCCAGTTGTGAATTTCTATACGCCCGAGGACAATGCTTTGTGTTTCCCTTTGCCCCCGTTATATAACACTCTCCCATAGACTAAGCACATAACCGTACGATCGAGGACCGTTTTCAACAAAAGACCCAACACTTTTGTTCTCCCTTTGTGTCTGTCCTCTATCCTGTACTCCGACATAGCGTAGCAGCCTGCAGTGATGCAACGCCTTTCCCCGTGGAATCCCAACCGTTTGAAGTTATTTCAAATCACATCTCTGTTCAATCACGCGATATGTTTCATCCATGCGTATTAAGCTAAATGATGTTACCAGCCTGCGGAAGAACAGTTTTCCTCCCTGGGCCTTTTATAATGCATGAAATTAATAATTAATTGTGCTTATATAGCGCTTTCCATCGTATCAACGATCTCAAAGCGCTTATTACCCCGTTCATCAGGCCAATGGGGCCCAAGAGCACAAACACCATGTTCCTGGGAGGGTTCGAACCCACGCACCATCGCACGTGAGTCAATCACCGTAACCACGGGGCCATGGCATCCTATACTTTTGTGAACAGCACGAGGCAACGCCACGTGCCATTAATGTTCCACGATCTTAATTGCGAAGCCGGTCGTTTCCAAAAAGAAAACAGATATCATTTTCGCCTATGCAAATTCAGAATCGAAGGCATTGCTGGATCTACGGGGCTTAGGGGTTAAAATCCCTGCTGGGCCGCAAAAAAAAAAAATTAGAGAAAAATCATGCAGCAAAGCTCCCTTCTTGATCCAAACCATGGATCCATCCCTGGAAGGAGAAGTACATGTTACTTGCATTGAGTATATACAAGTCCGTATCAGTAGCAAATATTTAGTTAGGGGCAAACATGTACAGGTTGGACCACATGACGATACCGACTTGCTGAGACAAGCTGTTATTCCAGGGTTTTGGACTTTCCTTGTGGTGAGGCTTAGAGTACTACACACGAAAGTAAGACAAGAGGGACATAAGAGGCGAATCAACAGTCCAAGTCAACCTAGCTGGCTCTGGAAAAGTCTGTATCAACTTTGCCGCACTAGGGCATCTAGAGCATGAATGTTTTGTCACGAAGGATGGTGACCAACATTCGCGCAGCGAGAATTCGCCTTGAGGGGGAGGGGGGATGAAGGCTATCGGCCGGGGAAAACATTTAGTTTCCAGGAGGCCTGGAGGAGGAAAATTTGAAGTGCGGGGAAATGTGTTTTGGTTTTGACACATTTGTTTTGGTTCTCAAGGGGCCACCGCATGTTCGTGAGACAAATTTTGTAAGTGTACATGACTGTACAGCTTCGTTTTGAAGAAAAAAAAACCTTTCGGCAGGTATGATGAATTGCTTTTAGTGTAATTGTGTTCGTTGAAAGCCACAAAATCGCGTAAAAATCCTACATCTAACCTGTTGAACTTTCAGCTCAGTGGTCGCCATATACAGTTTAAGAAAACAGAGAAAACGCTCGCACAATTTTGGGTCTCGTAACAGGATTCCACTGCTAACGCACGTAGGAAAATAACATGCCCGCTGGCAACCTATTTTGAAACCCCTTAAATGCTAGTTTTCTTCTAAACGATCCCTTTCCAGACAAAACTGAATGCCGCAGGATGTTTGATACCAGTCCTACCTTAAATTTGAGCAAAGTTTCAGTCATTGAATCGCTAGGTACTTTTTAGGGTAATTGTAAATAATCCTACATGGCTTTAACTGAAACTGTGCTTTACCAGTATTAATTGGATTCGGGCTTTTCTGTTTCCCATTTTTCCCTTCGTATTATTATTCGTGTTTTACGTAATTTGGTAATATTTTCGGTAACCACTAACAAACCCCTTCAGTCATGACGCCACTGGTGACAATCAATCGCCACAGTTCAACAATCGTCATAAAGGTATAGCATATACGGTTTTCGGGGTTTTTTTGAGTGCCTGGCGCCGAGTTAATATACTGAAACCTTCGGGTAATGTATTGTGGCCTTAAAGGAGACTTTTGGAAATCTGTAAATCTTTCCCTTTTTCAACCTGTTTACGAGCAAGACGTTTGAATCCTCTGGGTTGAGCTCATCGAGTACCTTGTAATCCACGCTGGCGACAGATTTTTGAACACGAATTTAGGTTTCAGTCTGTTGAAAGAACACGTGCCAGACGGTAAGCCACGTGAAGGGTGTGTTTTATTGCTTCAAGCTCCATGTAATCTGGATAAGCTTGTGGAGGGTTAAGTCGGTCAACACGGTTAACGTTGCTATTGGGAATCTAATGCGTATAGAGTCTTCATTGAGTCGACAGAGGAAAAAAAAAAGGACATCAAAAAAGACGGACTGAGGTTTTGTGTGTGTCATAATGAGTTCAACGTCCTGTGTTTGAAATCATTTCCCATAAAAAATAAATAAAAAGATTCTTTCACCAGGACGTTAAGAATCTCTAATGAGACTTGTGGATTCTCAAGTCTCCGACGACTGAACAATAACCGGTGCTAAAGAAGAAAATAAGCGGGGCAAATAAGCGCGAAGTGGCGTCCCAACGGGGTTGTCGCACAATGCCCGTCATTACGTTTTGTGAGTTCGAGTTTGATAAACCCAACATCGGGCGATGTTCTTGCGATGATCATCAGGAGCGATTGGCCCGACAAGAACGGGTCCCTTGGAGGAGAAGTGCGATAAGGTAAGAAGGCGGATGATGAGGGCAATAACTGACAAGTTAGCAACAAGGGAGCGTCATTTGCGAAGGAGATTTTTCAAGGCGAGAAAAAAACTGTCAGATTTTGCCTGACAATAATGTAACCTTGTGCGGTTGGGAATAAAGATACTGTAGAATGCCGGCGGTCAAGTTGTATTTGCAAAACTGTATCGGCTATTGTTCGTGTATCCGCTTTTGCCATAGGCCTACCCTAAGAAGCAGTTTATCCGGTTAGAAATTGATGCTGATTAATGTCAAGCCATCCACATCACTCTTTTGGTTCTTTTGATTTCTTACTTTCAACTTTAGAAATGACAAAATCTTGTACTTTTCAAGTTGTAAAGTTGTTCTTTTTTCTTGGGTCGCTGCTGAATACAATTTAAAGAGTTGCACTCCATACACTGCAAAAACTGCAGTGTTAAATTTACACTGTTGGTATCTATATAGGACCATCTGGTGTTAAATTTTACTGGTGTTGTCCTATATAGATACCGAATGGTGTTAAATTAACACTACAGTTTTTGCAGTGTACCCTTGGTGTCTCATTAGGAAGATGACCATTGCAGATCCGGCGTCTAGAATCATTTCAACTTGCTTTAAACTCTTGAATAAGAGGGTGCCTGACTATTTTTTCAATGATGCCACCGTTTGTTTCCCTTACATTTTTTTGTCATTTGAGCACAAACATAAAGCTAACTTTTTGCCAATGAATGAAAAATTATTCACCCAAGCTCAATAGGGGGGAATCCGAATTTGCAAAATCTTCATTCCTGCTACTCTTCTAAAGGATCACCCCCTAAAAATGAGACGGTTCGCCTCATGTTTGCTTAATTGGAGTACTTCAAAGCTTCGACTTAAAAAAAACCTGTATTGAACTTTTATGCTTGAACCAAATTAGGAACATACATGGACATTTCGCTTAAAATCAATATCTGATCAGTACAGGGTGAGTAAAAACAAAAGGAACCAACCCCCCCCCCAAAAAAAAATATATATATATATTTCATATTTAAAACATAAAAAATTGCACCAAACATGCTTATGACTGGAAAGCCAATTTCATAAGCTACGTTTAGATGGCAAAATTACTGAAATTACTCGATCCCTTCGAAGAATATCACCATTTAAACGCAATTCCCTTAAAACATGATTCGTCCAAAAAAGCAGCTTATCGTGTGTTCTGACTGTTTTGAACAACAAAGAAAATGGCACAGAGTACTTGTTTCAACAGCTGTCAACAACTGTAGTCCACAATATCTTTATTAACAACCCTATTAGCAAATAATATTATTTATAAACTCCACTTTCTTTTAAAAGACGGGCCTTCAAAAGGACTTTGTTGAATATTTTTTAACTTTTAAACTGAGGTTTTGTCGCTGGTGATGTTTGAAGACAATTGTGACGACGATTCTTGAAATCTCATTTTTTGGACGAAAGAGGCTCTAGGGTCATTGTGTTAAAATGGTGATATTCTTTGAACGGATTGAGCAATTTCAGTAATATTTTCATCTAAAGGTAGCCTGTGAAATTGGCTTTCCAGTCATTATCATGTTTGGTGGTACATATTTTTATAAATATGAAGTATAATTTTCGGGGTTTGGGATACGCTTTTTTTTACTCACCCTGTATATGAAAATATGGACCCTCGCTGAGCCGAGTGTGTTTCCAGCCTCGAGAACCCTTTAATCACGAATTTGGAATATGAAGACGAACCGGAAACGTATTCGATGTTTCGCAAACACCACGACCCTGCAACTGGCAACGTGCGAATTGCTTGGCTTCAGCTGGCAATTTACACACGCGCCTATGGAAGGGGCTGCAGCCCCTTCCCATAGACATAAGCGTTAACTATCGGTGTCATATGAAATTTTGACTCGTGTGAAATCTGGTCACTTTTACCTTTTTTATATATGGACTCTAAACGTCACACGTTACCTGCCACGGTCCTTTTATATACATGCGCAATGCATACACATACGGCTGTATAGCTATTACTTCCCCGGCTGGTCATACTTACCTTTCGTTCCTGTAGAAGACGTTGAATGCGAGGAAGCCGCAAGCCATGGCGATGCCGACGGAGGCGAAGGCGGTCATGCTGACGAAGAGCTCGTAGGAGACTGAGTCCTTGTGGTACTCGGTCACCGTGATGTCGTTGTCGTCTGGTGGCTTGCCGCCACTGGACGCTAAGAACAAGAAAAACAGTCCACAGTGAGTAATGCGGGACCTACATGAAGCCCAAACAACCCTGTACCAATGTATCACAAGACAAAACGGTAGCCCCAACCCGCTCGGAACTGTAGCCCAGGACCTAAAGCTAAAACCAAACTCAGTACAGAACTACCCAGGACCTAAGTTTACCCCAAACACGTACAGAACTTAGCCCAGGGCCTAAGGCTAACACAAACCCAGTACAGAACTGTAGCCCAGTACTACAACCTTAACACAGAACAGAACTGTAGCTCAGGACCTAAAGCTAAAACAAACCCATTGAGAACTTTAGCCCAGGACCTAAAGCTAACTCACTCCCAGTACAGTACTGTAGCCCAGGACCTAAAGCTAACTCAAACCGAGTACAGAACTGTAGCCCGCAGGGCCTAAAGCTAACTCAAACCGAGTACAGAACTGAAGCCCAGGACCTAAAGCTAACTCAAACCCAGTACAGAACTGTAGCTCAGGACCTAAAGCTAACTCAAACCGAGTACAGAACTGTAGCCCGCAGGGCCTAAAGCTAACTCAAACCCAAACAGAACTTAGCCCAGGGCCTAAGGCTAACACAAACCCAGTACAGAACTGTAGCCCAGGACCTAAAGCTAACTCAAACCGAGTACAGAACTGTAGCCCGCAGGGCCTAAAGCTAACTCAAACCGAGTACAGAACTGTAGACCAGGGCCTAAAGCTAACTCAAACCCAAACAGAACTGTAGCCCAGGACCTAAATCTAACCCAAATCCAGTACAAAACTGCAGCCCAGGACCTAAAGCCAACTCAAACCCAGTACAGAACTGTAGCTCAGGACCTAAAGCTAACTCAAACCGAGTACAGAACTGTAGCCCGCAGGGCCTAAAGCTAACTCAAACCCAAACAGAACTGTAGCCCAGGACCTAAAGCTAACCCAAATCCAGTACAAAACTGCAGCCCAGGACCTATAAAGCTAACTCAAACCCAGTACAGAACTGTAGCCCAGGACCTAAAGCTAACTCAAACCCAAACAGAACTGTAGCCCAGGACCTAAAGCTAACCCAAATCCAGTACAAAACTGCAGCCCAGGACCTAAAGCTAACTCAAACCCAGTACAGGACTGTAGCCCAGGACCTAAAGCTAACTGAAAACCAGTACAGAACTGTAGCCCAGGGCCTAAAGCTAACTCAAACCGAGTACAGAACTGTAGCCCAGGGCCTAAAGCTAACTCAAACCGAGTACAGAACTGTAGCCCAGGGCCTAAAGCTAACTCAAACCCAGTACAGAACTGTAGCCCAGGACCTAAAGCTAACCCAAATCCAGTACAAAACTGCAGCCCAGGACCTAAAGCTAACTCAAACCCAGTACAGAACTGTAGCTCAGGACCTAAAGCTAACTCAAACCCAGTACAGAACTGTAGCCTGGGACCTAAAGCTAACTGAAAACCAGTACAGAACTGTAGCCCAGGACCTAAAGCTGACTAAAACCCTATAGAAATGTAGCCCAGGACCTAAATAAATGCTAAACTAAACCAAGTTGGCTACAGAACTGTAGCCCAGGACCTAAAGCTGACTGAAACCAAGAACTGTAGCCCAGGACCTAAAACTGACAGAAACCCTATAGAACTGTAGCCCAGGACCTAAATAAATGCTAAACCAAACCAAGTTGGCTACAGAACTGTAGCCCAGGACCTAAAGCTGACTGAAATCCAGAACTGTAGCCCAGGACCTAAAACTGACAGAAACCCTATAGAACTGTAGCCCAGGACCTATATAAATGCTAAACCAAACCAAGTAGGCTACAGAACTGTAGCCCAGGAACTAAAGCTAACCCAAACCCGTTACAGAACTTTAGCCCAGGACTATAAAGTTAATCTTAACTCAGTACAGAAATGTAGCCCAAGACCCAAAGCTAACCCAGTACAAAACTGTAGTCATTTTGCCTAACGCTGGTTAAATTTACCCAAATTTAAGCAGCGTTAGGTAAAATGACACATTTTAACCAACTGTTCTTTACAAGGTGAACAGCCCAACAGTTGGTAAAAAAATACACAACGTTGGGCAAAATGTGCCCAACGTTTGGTGAAAGTTGGGCAAAATTTGACAAACTGTTAACCAGCGTTTTGAGAGTGCAGTGGGTGGCACGCGATGCGCGGTATCCCGCTAATTTAATTCAATTGCGTCGGCGCGGTGGGGACAAAGTCGAATGTGTAAATCTTTCCGACACAAACTGATGAGCAAATAATCATTGCTTTGTATTTTTTTAAATTGGCTGAAGATTTATTTCCGGACCAATAATCCTGTACCTATGTAAATGAATGCACTAGATTACCAGCAGGTGCAAGTGACATGATCGAAAAGCACGTCCATTTCTTGGTAAGGTCTTCAGGGATGTAAAAACGGATCAGATTTAATTTACACTTTTAATAGCCGAACTGAGGTACGGCTCTCAACCCAATTTAAATGGGCATTCGGTCATTGCGAAACCGAGTGCAGACTCCGAGTCCCATTCGATTTTGTTTGTTTTTTTTCTTTGGGGCCAATCCGCTCAGAGTCTCTCGAGACTTGGGTGCCAGATTGTTTTCTGCCGACACAGTAAATGTGTGGGACGGGGAGTAATACCTCGTGAATATGGACAGCTTTTTCCGCGTGCATATCAAAGTGGGAGAAAAAAAGGTTGTAGTCCTGTCAGATTTACCGAGTGGGTGACTCTTTCTTGGAGCCGTAGGACAGCCACATCGCGGTTCTTCGACTAACGGGGTATTTATTTATGTAGATAAACCGGCAGTGGATTTCTTCCGATAAGTAAGTGAAGAGGAACGTCCGAACTTGATGTCAAATATTCCAGCACTGTATTTCTGAGGCCGGTCAGAGTCGTAACTTGGGTGGAGTAACTTTTACCACGAAGGCGAACGTGTCGTAGACATGTCACGTGATTTGGGGGAATCTCTCATTATTTTTTTAACAGGATGATGCTCAAATAAGGGTTGAGCAGATTCCATTTTGAGGAAGAATGGGTCTTTAAGTATTTAACTGGATCAAGGCTTGACCAGCTGGCTAGCTTGCGATTTGTATTATTAATACCATTCACAAAGTGGATATCGACGTTTTCTGTTCGGTGTTATACATTTTGTTTTTCTCGTCGGTTTTAATCAAGTTTCCAGACTTAAATCTGATCAGCGTTAATAAAACGGGCGAGCGCATGGATAGCCACAAGCCAAGCAAATTTACTGTAAACATTTCGGTCAACTAATACCAACTGAAACACTCTTGGGCAAATTCGTCCCAATCGTCGGTTAATTTTTACCCGAATTATAAACCAACAATGAGGTAACTTGGTACTAATGTTGGGCAAAAAACATTGCCCACAGTATTTTAATCAACTTTTCTTAGAGTGAGAATGGAACAAGTATAATGATCGAAATTTGATCTCATCTTAGCTGGTTTCCTTATTTAATAAGGAAGCAAGCTAACAGGGTCAGCATATGAGTTAGGAGAGCTTATGCCGTGAACATTCCAGCAAAACAGTCCAGCTATTATTAGCTAACTATAGCGATGCGGTGAACCGGCAAAAGCTACTGGCCACTCGGTCGGCAAGGCGCTCGGGGGGGGGGACCAACTGTAACCCGGGAGATGAGCTTTACGGCACGCAAGGAAGCCATCCGGAAAAAGTCGACCAGGCATTAAATTCGTGGAGCCAATTAATTCACCGGCCGTCCGGCCTGCCAAGCGTGAGGGCAGGTGTTGGGCATTGGGAATTGGGGTGGGAAAGGATAGGGTTGGGAAGCCGATTAGCCGTTAAAACTTTGCAACAAGGCGGCCGCGTCAGCGGACCTAAAGCACGGATGGGATAAGGGTTGGAGTTGGGTGGGGCTACGGTGGGCTGGGGTGGTGTGGAGTAAGGATTGGGTGGGATGGGGTGGGGTTGAGTGGACGCAAGATGCAGTGTGGTTGAGGTAGAGAGAGTTGGGTGTAAGTGGTGGTAGGGTCTTGTAGGGTTTAGGTATGAGCTGGGATAGGGGTAGAAGTTAGGGTGGGTAGGATGAGGTAAAGTGGGGTTGGGAGGTGGTCTATTCGTGTGTAGGGGCGGGGTAGGATGGGTTGGGCGGTTGGGGAGCGGAGTAAGAACTGGGTGGGATCGGGTTGGTTTGATTGGTGAGCGTGGCAAACAGTGTGGTCGAGGTGGAGAAAATTGGGTAAGTGGTGGTATATGGGCTGGGTATCAGCTGGAATAAGCGTGGGGGTAAGTTGTGGTGAGAAAGGGTGGAGAAAAGTGGGTTATGAGTTGGGGTAAGATAGGTAGGGTTGGGCAGTGGAAAGCGGTCACGAAATCGTCCTGCCTCAACTTACACAGCCAGCTTGGCAACTGATACTGCCAGTTTAACTCGTATAACCGCCCTTGCTAGTATGGTCCTTTGACATTTAAAGATCACACTCCATACTTACGACTATAACGACCCGATTTAATGGTACCAAATTCCCGACCGTCAAAATTAAACATGTAGATCGTGCACTCTCGGAAACTGGTGTTGATATGCAATCCTACTCGTATCCGTGTCAATTCCATGCGGGAACAGTAATAATTCTTCTTGGAGAACTTCAACATCAATTATTCAACAGGGCTTTGATGGTGCAGCTGTCCTCCAATTATAGGACCGAATATTGAGGGGGCTGTTCCTGAACCCGCCGGGAAATGTTCTAATTAACGAAACGGGTCTCAAAATGAATAATTCAAAAAAAATGGTAAATATTCAAAGAGATCACGGGGAGATGTCGCCCTGGGTTTTTTTGGCGGGGGGGGGGTATTTTTATATCGTCTCAAAGCCGCCTTCGGTTGAAACCTGCCGGTACAGTTAAAGAGCACTTCTTGGGTCTCGTGTTTCAAACTCCCCCGATGAAAAATGAACTGTATGTATGTATTAAAATGTATTTGATGCTGATAATTGGGAAGAAGGCTTCAAGCTTTCGGTAACAGGAAAATAAAGAGGCAAAGTTCAAAAAATGACATGCAACCTTAGCGTTATTTCGACTAGGTCAACGGGATTCTATATTAGTTTTTCGATCTGATCGGTTCCCGAAGATGAGTTTTTATTAAAATCTCGTCAATTTCTAGTCAAAAAGAGTTAGACTAATTAACCTAAAGATGTTAACATTAATTTGCCATTAGCTTGGGCAGATGCATTCTTCACCCGTCGAAACGAACTACGCTCTATTAACAAAATATTAAGTTACAATCAATCTAGGATGAATAATGATCTCTATGACGAAACTTTGAGTATTTTGTTAATGATTTATTTCAGACAATTAACCTACGATGACATGAACTGATCAGCTGTCAGAGACCAGCTCGAAAATACATTACTTTTTATTATGATGAATGGTATACATATTTGTAACAAATTATTTACTTCGAATCAAGTGAATTTTTTTATTCATCCTGGTCGCAAAGTTCTCGAACGATAAAACTAGCAAACGCAAAACGTACACGTGGTATTTATTTCTGAAAAGGAATAACATATGACCTGTGGTCGTAAAACTGCCAAGTGTAACACAAACACCTTGCTGGAGTTACCTGCACTAATTGCGCACTTGTGGTTCAGAATCGTTTCTTCAACGGCCGCAATAAATTTCCCGGGTTTATTTACTGATGACAGGTTTTTTAATACCTGTCCATGGTTGTAAAAAAAAATATCTCTAATCAACGACGAAGGTTTATCGGTTATTTACTTACCGAATATCTCTTCTACTGTGTAGTACCATCTGATGGTATCTGTGACCCGGTTGTAATGGCCGATGTCGTAGTCGGTACCATCTGAACATTAAGGAGAAGGAAAAATGAATAAACTCGATTGCAGGCTCAGAGAGCTAAAACCTCCCCCAAGGCTGAACAATAATTTCTTCGCCATGTTGTCAGTACACCCAATGGAAAAACACGCATATCAACCGGGCTTTTATATTTCATTGCACATTCCCAACTCCCCCATAGTATCAAATGGTTGAGTCCATTGACCTGTTGGTTTCAATAGTGTGTGTGCTATGCGCTCACAGACTGCACGCTGGGTGACCTAAACACGTGTCCCAATTTCATGGTCTCAACACATATTCGCACAAACAAAATGGTGAAAAATTCTATAAAAAAAAAGTCGTGGATCCTAACCAAGATCTCGATCATTTCCAAAATCGAATCGATTCGTACTTGTACCGAGGACCACCCCTTAAAAAATGTTCACGAAAATCCGTCCATGACATTTTGAGTTATCTTGTTAACAGACAAACAAACACCGATGAAAACAATACCTCATTGGCGGAGGTAACAAACATAATACTCAAAGATACACGAACGCAAAGCGAATTGAATGGCACGAAGCCCTAGCTTTGCTGCAGTATGGGAAAAAATTGTCGGATTTGAGATGTCTTTGAACGTAAATTTATGAATTCATAAATTTACGTTCAAAGACATCTCAAATCCGACAATTTTATTAATTAAATCAAATTCATTAGAGTCTTTAAATGACGTTAGTTGATGTGAACTCCGCGTTTGTCTATCCCCACCTATTTTGTTTCAATCAATCAAATTATTGAATGGCAATTTGGGAGTAGTTTCTTCAAGCAGAGTTCCTCGTCAACAAATTTCATCTTTGAAGGCCTTGTGTGCCGTATATCAAGGAACATTTCTAAACAAAAATAATAAAAAGCTTCATAATGTCAAGTATGATGGGTTGCAGACGTGTGATAGATTGACAACAAACGGTCAAAGTGTAACTAGCGGTTGATGACCGGATGAAATCATCTAACAATAACCCTGAAAGCAAAGGGCAGGAAACGGCCCAATGGAAGGAAATGATGAACGAGAGCTCGGAGGCTGGCGATAAATAAGAGAGTAGATTGCAAGTAGGCGACAGGAAACCGAAATTGTATCCTGGGGAAGCTCAATCGGCATAACATCTCTCCGTAAGAATATTGGTTGATGGCTTATCACAAATAGGAGGGTTTTGGAGCAACTCAGATGTATTGGGGCAAAGTTGATTTCAAGCTCGTTCTTCATTGTAGAACCCAATTTGTATGCCTCACGTATGGAGAGATTTTCGGTGTCATAGCTAAGCTCTGCTCCGAGTCAAGTGAAATGAAATATATGGTGGTGCACGCCAATCGCAAACATTAGGGGTTATGATCTAGTGGTTAAAGTTCGTGACTCGGAGGGTCAGGGGTTCGAATCCTGCTGCTGGCCATATGTTGTATCCTTGGGCAAGCCACTTCACCCCAACTTGTCAATCCAGGAGTATAAATGGGTACCGGTATTAGCTGTAGGTAACCTGCGATGAACTGGCATCACATCCAGGGGGAATAGAAATGTCCTTAGTTGTTTCCTGTCGAGGGTTCTCATTGCAAATCCATTATGGGATCTCAAGGACCTGAAACAAGAGGTAAACGCCGGCCTGATGGGCCATATTTGGCCTTTTTGTGATACACACAAATCTCAAACATTGGGGGGAGACAGTGGTTAGGGTTCGTGACTCATGATCGAATGGTCATGGGTTCGATTCCAGCTGCTGGGTATATGTTGTGTCCTTGGGCAAGCCTTTTCATCCCCACTTGTCCACCCAGCAGTATAAATAGGTACCGGCATTAGCCGGGGAGTATAACCCTGCGATGGACTGGCATCCCATCCAGGGGGAATAGAAATGTCCTCGGTTGTTTCATGTCACTGAAACAGGAGATAAACGCCGGCCTGATGGGCTATATTGGCCATAGTTGTGGTACACACAACACAAACATCAAGGGGGAGGGTATAGTGGTTAGGGTTCACGACTCATGATCGGATGGTCATGGGTTCGAATCCAGTTGTTGGTCATATGTTGTGTCCTTGGGCAAGCCACTTCACCACCACTTGTCCACCCAGCAGTATAAATAGGTACCGGCATTAGCAGGGAGTATAACCTGCGATTGACCAGCATCCCATCCAGGGGGAATAGAAATGTCCTCAGTTGTTTCATGTCACTGTACCGGAGATAAACGCCGACCTGATGGCCCATATTGGCTTGTGACAGACTTTACTTTACACGCAAATTTCGAATGCGCTTCCAAATCGAGGGTCCTCATTGCAAATCCATTATGGGACCTCGAGAACTGTTTGTCTCATTCATAAACTCGTCCCAAAAAGGGAGCACTGACATCCTTAACGTCAGTGTTTATTTGAAATTCGTCAGTATAAGTGCAACTCACTGAGCCTCCCCGTCTTGAGCGGTATGCACAGGCTTTCGATTATGGATTGAAATTTGAGGATTTAGACATACAAAAAGGGATGGTGGAAAATGTCAAGGAATCTGCAAATGATTTAGTTGCATTATCTTTATACCATGCATTAAATGATCTTCCTCTGAGGTTGTTTTGCTCGTGATTAGTGACCATATTTAGTGCAATCCTATTGTCTTTTTGAAAGCTTTTATCATTTTACTATTATAACACATTATATTATAATGTCAAATTATGTAAGTTATGTGAATTTTCAGTTTTGTTCAGCTTGTGCTAACTTCTTGGTTTTATCGTATTTGCTGTTAACGGCTGTTTTTCTAGTTGTATTTCTTTAATAACACCAAAATATGAATTTCATGTTTCATTTAACCCACATGACCAATTAAAGAATTAAATTTGAATTTGAGTTTGAATTCATAACCTGTACTAAGATTGTTTTGAATTGCGCCCGAAATGAACACCCATGCGTGTGCGTTGTGTCAACGCTGCGCGCACCCATTTACAGATTCGCCACATTACAAACTAACTACTAACGGAAATTTCCAAAAATGCGTCACTGGACGCATGTTTGGAAATGGTCTACTTTTATTGTTTTCTTTAAAATGACAGCATGCCAAAAGAACAACTTCACAGGGAGTTTATTGCTATTACTGAAGTAAGCTTTTCAACAATAATTTCGTCAGTTGCATATTGGATAGCTGCAAATGATCTGCTCTACCTTTAACGAATACAACTGAACTTTAAATCGCTACGCGCCAACGGAGAATACAGGTTTAATGTTTGCCACTCAATACGGCGTTCATCGTAGCGAGTCCCAGCTCAGGCTGACAGAGGTGCAATTCAAGATGAAACGCGAAACACGAACAAGCGTTACAATTCACAAGGGATTGTATCTTTTGGGATATGGAGCAGAAATGAAAAGAAAACACATTCAAATAAACGATCAGTGGACCCTTGTAGTTGTAAATCTTGCTTCCTTTTGATTTTTGTTAAATGTAACGATAGATGCACAATCTCGGTTTTTAAGTCGTCTTCAACTCTGTTAATGTTAACTGGAGAAACAGACGAAACGATCCGACAGGGAAATTATCAAGGACAAAAAAAATAAAATTTCGAGAGAAAAAAATCGGACCCAGAAATTTAAGACTTTTTTGTTGGCTTAATTTCCCTTGTTGGATTAAGATAGTGCTCTGATGCCAGATTGGACGGTAAAGTATCCATTGGAGCCGACATCGACATTCACGCTGTAATTACAGAACAGGTTCGGTTTTTGCTTGCATCTGAAGATCATCCCATTTGCCCACCTGGATTGAAGTTGTCTCCGATCACATTTGACGGGAGGTATTCGGTTCAGAATACGATACACATGTCCTTTGTGAACAGGTAATCATAATATTCAGCATATTTATATACTTACTGATGATTCTCCGGATTCGAAACTCGCCTCGCCTGTCTCCGTTGGAGTCGAATGAAACCAGACCCTGCGGTTGGGAGAAGATGGGTTTAGCGTTTATTATCAGTGTGTCATGGCTGCCCCCAGGGACCGGGAAGACAGCAATTCAAGGGTATCATCGCGGGAACATGAGCCGGTGTTCGCCGGCAGGCAACACGCGCTGGACTCGGTCAGTGGATCCATCCACGGAAGCCATATGGCTTTGCTTGCTACATGTACATGAAGTTGGCAATTCCAGTGTTATGAAAGCAAGAGCAATATCCGCGACAGAGCTAATTTGGCATGATATCTAATTAATGACTCGGAGAAATGATCCAAAACTCCTAGTCTGTAATCTCCTTGACAGTTAGGCCTACCAGATGATGGATGTACAAGATTTGGAAGATTAAATTTCAGGTTTATGTAATGAGTTCTTTGAAAAAAAAAATATTTGGATAATACACCACATACTCTCTTTGATAGGTTGATAGTCCAGATGAATTGCATCCCATGGCAAAATTAATAAAGTACCAAATAATATTGAATTAGGGAACATAGGCTATGTTGTTGGGAGTATCTATGTCGTCGTTAGTCACCAATAACTGTTGTATCTTGCAGTCAGAGTGATCTATACAAAAACGGCATGGTATTTGGACACCACGTATACGTACACAGACATCAGTTACAAAAGGAACATTTAAAATGAACCTTGTTTTCCTTCATGTTCATGTGCTTGTTTTTTGTCGTATTTGTTTGCATGATTTGTCCTGGTCAAATAAATAATAACAATTAGGGAGCTTGATTGTAGTAGGAAATACAACGTAAAACACGCATGTTCCTGATTTTTTTTACTTGCCATGAGCTTTCTTACAAAAAGGGGACGGGAAGAAAATAAGTGCGATATGAAACAGAAATCTGTTAGATTGAGGTTTACCTAACCGTCAATAAGATCATTTGTATACAAAGCTTTGTACAAAGCGAATAACGAACTGGAGGAAATCAATTATTATTTTAAGGATGGATCTATAGAATGGCGGGCCATGTCCTGCTTCAGCAGCATCAAATCCTAAATCAAATTGGCAAAAATTTAGAGTATTTCAGTTTGGTATGGGCAAAAAGGGGCTTCCTAAATACTCTGCAGCTAGCCAGGCTACAGCTTCAAATATTATGCCCAAAAGTGTGACATTTTTGTGTGTGCCCCTGTTACACCTGACCTGTGTAATTTGCCATAGAGTTATCATTAAAATTGACTTCAAATTATATGTATATTTGTTTGGCATGTACTTTGGTTCACACAATCACTCCTGGAGATATGCATTAAAAAACAATGTCCTGAATTTACCAAATCTATATATCAGATGCAACAGGGACACCAAAAATAAATTGGACACCAACTTTATGGAATGACCCACTTACAGACACGCCCATGAAACTGAGCTGGTCCAGGCTCATGCAGATCGCCTGCGTCATCCGGGTCTCGTTGTAGAAGAACTGGTCGAGGGTCTTGGGCTTGATGAGCTCGATGGAGTTGTTCAGGGCCAGCGCGGCCGCCCAGACCGCGTCGTAGGCGTACGGGGTGGGCTTGATCTCCACCCGGTAGTCCGTGCCTGTCTTGTTCAGCATGATGTCGCGGTACTGGGACGGAGTCTGGCAAATTCAAAAGTCGATAAGAAGCTCAATGTTTGCTGATATCTTATGTTCCGAAAGGTTTAATTTTATCCATGCACTCTTGAAAACAACATTCAAAATAGGCTTATACTGACTGTTTTTTTCTAGCTCCAAAAGTTTAACTGAGTTGCTACGAAATCACACGCCGTTAATTTAAGCTTACTAGATTCCCATTCACTGTAGATCGTCGAGAAAATTGTTCCAAAACCTAGACTAGAAGACATCAATAATCTTGCTGGATTTTAAATTGCACCAAACTGACCCTAAATGCCTTTTTGTTTCTACAACAATCTGAGCAAAGCTTTTAAGAGTGTCAGATACCAATTAGCAGCGACATGTCTCCGAGCAATTTCTTAATAATTGTTTGGCAACTTGTTTTATTGCTATTATTGCAAAGACTTTTTACCAAACTTTTAGTGAAAAAAAGGTAAAAAGCGGAAAAAAAAATATGAATTAACTGATTCAACTTACAATTTGGCCAATGGTTTCCACGTCCTGGGTGCTGAGTGTCTGGAAGCCGACTGAGATGGCGCCCTCAACGGCGGCGCTCATCTCCTCCTTGGTGCAGCCGTACAAGTCTCCTTCCAGCCACCAGTTTGGCTCGTAATGGCCGAAGATCATCCAGACATACTTGGGCCCGTACAGACCGGATCGGTACGCCTGGAAAAGAGGTTAAAAAAGGTGTTCAGTTTGTTCAGACACCAGTCTAGGTCGACCACTCTTGAGCAAGTCATTTGGAATTTGGGATGGGCGAAAAAAAAATCATCTAGCGATTTCTCTGTTTCACAGAGCTGTAGGCTATGCCTATCTGATATTGAAAAGTGACAAAAAATAAATGCAGATTGAAATTGTGTCACTTTGAAAGACTAGATCAACCACTCTGAAGCAGGTGTATAGGAGTTGGGATAGACGAATAAAATGAAACTAGAGATTTCTTGCGTTAGTCACGTTGACAAACGCAGAGCTGTATCGGCCATTTTCTAGACTGCGTGTTAGCATGCATGACAATATGATATTTAAAAGAGACAATATATAAACTGACATTTTGTCACTTCGAAAATCTAAAGCCGATTAGCATTGCTTAGCTTATTTGGAGGGATGTCTATGCTAAGCTTGTCTGAAGTTTTAAGCTGACTAAAGATGGGCAATGGTCATGACAAAATCAGTCTCGAATGCGGCTAATCATTTTATGCTTACAACTGGACCATCAGATGGTGAGGCTGTTCATTTGCACACATTGAATGCAGTGGGAATGCGATTTCGTTTATGTTTTACGGTTTTATCACTAACAAACGACTAATGGTTGATTCTTGACGTAACAAATTACGCTTGCGCAGTTACGCCTTTGGTCAAAACTTCATCACGATACTTGTTTGTCTTGACATGCTACACATGCTGTACACATACAACACCAAATTACCCATGATATTCAGCAAACCGTTGTTCAGTTTATTCTACATCTTTGCATTTCGAACTACAATCTAACTGAACTGCAATAACAAACAACGAAGCTCTCCAACTTGGGGCATTTATAATAGTTCGCAACCGCAAAGCAACCGCTATGCAAACCCAACATGGCGAACTGTGCTCTTTCTAAAACAATTCTTATGAAAACCTTTCTTGAAAATTGTGGTTGGTTGTACATGTAGTTGTGTTTTATACGAGGTTCCTTGTTTTCCTGTCCCACACGACTAGCTGATAGTGGCCTCTGCTTGGTTTCCCTAGGGTGGGCAAGATAAGGAAGTGCTGTGGGCAGGCCATGCGCTACGGCTTTTGGTTTCAAAAACACAAAAGTGACCAGAATTTTGATTTTGACATCTTAAAAAGCTTTGTATGAAAGAGATCCGTTGTACTTCGAGTAGAAAAAAAGGAAAACGTGTATAAAATGGTCTATATTTTCTTCCCAGTCGACTTTCTCAGCATGATGAGGCCTCACGTTAGGTATTCCTTGGGTTGGCGAGATCATTTGAAAAGCGCCATTGGCCTGTGTTTTTGATGAGCATACGGGCATGTTGGTCTCAAACAAGCGAAGGCATGATAATGCCACTAGAAATCCATAGAGCAAAAGGCTTTGTCTGGGGCTGTAATGCAATTTTGAGGCGTGGGCACTAGATAGACATCAGTGCTGAGAGCCTCCATTGTGGTGGCAACCCACACGATGGAGCGGTGAGAAGCAACCCGATCGCGAACGGGTCCCATGTGGGAGTCGAACCGCGGGCATACCGGAGGTAAGGGAGACGAGAAAAAGAAAGCCAGTGCGTGTCACAATCATGTGTCAATCTGTCTATAACACACGATCTCTTTCCAACGGCAAGAAAACGCAGTCTTTGAAAAGATAACAAAATAATTACTAACTTAACGTTACAAAACGAGCAATCGATTACAATTTAAAATAGGCTTACAAGCGGAGGGCAAAAAACTATGAAGAATACATTACACAAAAATAACACGTGATCTGTTGCCCATAGCAAGGAAGACAGGATTTTGTTTGAAAAGACAAAAATACAAATAATAACTTAACATCACACAACAAGCAATCTATACTGGAAAGAATGGATGCATGTCAGGCGAAGAACACAATAAAGAATAAAATACCAAAACATTCCTAAAATATCATGGGATTTATGATGCTCACTATAACATTACACATAATCATTCACTCACCTCGCAAAACACTTTCTTGGCAAGAAATTCGTAGAAATTTCCAACGATAATCCGCACATCTTTTTCCTATAAGAAAACGAAAAATTATATAAAAAGAACACAAAAGTACTGTAATGCAAAAAAAAGGAAGTCATCTCTGAATTTATTTTAAAGAGTTTATTTGAATTCTATCCAAATCATTCAAGGGCAACTATGACGTTAACTGATGTCCCTTTTTTGGCAAATCACATTTTCGTAGAAGCTTTTACCTCGAAGAATTTGAACGGCTGCACCAAATCGTCGTCGAAATTCTCCTTGGCGATGATCTCGATGCTGCTGTTGATGAGTTTTGTGTGCATGTCCTCCATGGCCTGAAAAGAAATAATCAATTCCAGGGAGACACGAATTTATTGGAGGAGTAGTCACTTCGGAATGACGTAAAAAAACCCACTAAAGATTACTTTAATAACATTCCGATTGGGTGAAAATATGAAAACGTTGAAGTGTTGGAAAACAATACACAACATTGTATGTTTAATGCACTAGGGATGACGATGTTTTGTAATACCCTCGTTCTCTAGTTTATTTGGTTGATAAAAATAAATATCGTCTTTATAACGAGTTTTTTCATTGATAGGCCTATATGGTTCCATCCCTAAGAACCTACAGGGGAATTACGTGAACACAATGACTTGACTTGCACGAAGTGCGTCATTAATCTAACATGTAGCTACGGGCGATATATATAGAGTTCAATCAAACTGGGACACAAATTCTTCAACGTACAAGTCTATGATAATTTAATTTTTTGATAATTGACCATTTCCGCAGGAAAAAAAGGTCCCTTACTGTCTATCAAGAAAAACAAGCTCTGATTTTATTAAGAAGCACTGACGCATTTGGACTTGAACAAAGTTTCTTAAGCAGATGACATTTCAAAGCTTTGGGAATAGACATTAAAAAAATAACATTTTTAAGGAAACACGTACTTTGATTTTTTTTTTTCTACTACGTTTTGTTTACAGTATGGCGGTTAAGTTAAAACAAGCCAATCACAAGATCTCCAGTCTCAAGTGACATCACAAGAGTATATAGACCCTTTTGCATACGGCAGCCATCTTGATTTTTTTTTATAATTTCGTTTAAAAGGAAGAATACACCCAACGATCAACTCGTGTGCAGACCTACACCGGGTTATGGGGAAGTTTTTTATTGTTAGGCAAATTAGGACCGAGTTATGGGGACTTTTTGCTGTCCCACAGCGTTTTCGGTCCCCACAAATACCTCGTACAGACGAGTGTTATGTCCCCACAACTACGGAACAAGACTGTGTGGTTATTCCTGTGGAACAGACGCACTGCACTTCCAAAGATGGCTGCCATAAGATGTCTTTTCAAATCCAACAGTGACGTGACCAATGTATTCCTTTCACTGATCTCTATAAAAGAAATCTGGAAAGCACATTGGCGGTTATAGAAGTGGAGTCACCGTCCACCATCTTACCACTCCCATAACAAAGCATGTAACAAATACATCCTTTCTTATCCGTAATCTTTACCTTTTCATTGAAGGTACTCTTTTGTTCAACAGTATACAAATTAATTCGTCAAATAAATGTGTTTTATATTATATTCTGTTGAGATAAAAAAAAAATGTTTGATAAACTTTTAGTCTTGTTTATTTCATTATAAATGTACGATGGGAGTGGTTATACTGGTTCCCGTATCATATTCGAATTGTGAGATTCGCAACCAGTGCGTAGCTTCAAACGTGTGTACACAGCACGCAATGGCCCACGAGCTATCCAGATTTATTAACATGGAGATCAGTGATTCCTTTGCCCAGGTTCACCATCGATCCCCTGTTACTCGTGACCTTCGTTGACCTGTATCAGACCTTAGTGACAAGGAGGCCATTTTCCATCGTGTTTCCTGAATCTATTTTATAAATTTTAAACTGTTGAATATGATGGCGCCAGACTATTTTATGATTGGAGTGCGTGACAAGCATTGATCTACATTAGCAAGACAACCTCACTATCAATTTCTTTTTCAAACGTGATTTAAAACATTAGGGTGTGTTTAATCATAAATTTTGAATTATCCATCAGAACATACTGGTATTAATTGGTAATGACCTTTTACTGCATTGCTTTTATTTCTATTCGCAAGTTCCAAAAAAATGAGGAATTTACCTCGCCTTCAATTTAATATGGCCGACTAGTTAATAAGGTATATTGCCTTGGTTGCAGCTCTTTATTAGTTTGAAGGACACAACAAACATGATGGGTGATAAACCGGGGGCGTGACAGCCGCAAGAGCAGACAACAGGATAATACTCTTGCCGTCAATGTCTCCATCTTACCATGGTGGACTCGGTTCGCCCCAGCGTGGCCACCCGCTGCCACCCCCACTGTTTGATCATGAGCAGGCGGGGGTCGTTGTAGCCTGTGTTGGACATGATGGTGCGGTACAGGAACGGGTACCGCGTCCTGTCGCCCAGATGAGGCTCGTGAGATCCGTAAGAGATCTTGGGAAATAAAAAACAAAGCCAAAACAAAAAAATGAAGAGGAATGAGGTTGAAGAGGGGTTTGGTTCTTAGCAATTACGTGCCACACCTGGCATATTATCTGGCATTTTGGGTAGTCGCGTTTGGAGTCGCTATATTTTAGGCTTTGAAGGGGTTGGACATTTCCCCCAGTGGCGTGGCGACAGGGTTGGGGGCACGAACACTTCCCAAAATAAAACTCAAAGAAAAAAAAACACGAGGATCTATGATAAAAAAAAGACTAGATAGTGTTAGTAAAACTTGAAAGTAGAAACTGCCGGGAGGGCATTAAAAGCGACTATGAACAGCGCCCCTGGCGTCCAATGATGTCCAACAGTCCTCTCTCGCAATTTGAATTTTCCGCGGCTTGAAAACTGAGGTAGGGGAATGGTAAAACTCACGAACGAATATTCTCGCCACGTAACTGAATTTCGCTTGAAATCAATTGAAATGCTTCGTAATCCAGTTTTTTTTTTACTGCAACCTCTTTTAGATGTACAACTTAACAATCACGTTTTTTATTATTTCCTCCATGTTTTTTCTGCTATCGGAGATTTATCGTGTTCATTATCCCGGCGCTCTCTCGAAAGAGGCGAGCGCTGACGCGCGCGTGTAAACTACCCAAGGAATTCCGCACGCCAAGCACGGACTGAATCGAACGAGGACGAAAAACAGCAAGCACTCACGCCGTTGTTATTTCACGCCGGCGAGTGATGAGAATGCCCCCACGAATGCGGCTGCGATTCCTGCAACTGGGAAATCTGAGTGTCCTGCTTTTTACCTCTCATTCTTGCTTCTATCTCCCGTATTTTTCTTTTTTTCTGATTAGAATCGAGTGTTTTAGTATTTGCTCAAAGCGTATAGATCTTTGGGGATGTATACCATTACCCTAGTGCCCTACATCCCGAAGCAATATGTTCGGGTTGGACACCAAAAACAAATGATAGTAGGAGTAACGTCAGATCGAGAGAGACAATCGCTCGTCTCTCCTCCTTAAAAGGTAACGTTGAATCCGTTCAGATGAAACTTCCACTATAAAGTCCCCAAGGTTTCTGGGCAGAATCTATTAGCTCTCCTTCATTCCACCTTCCGGCTATAAAACTATAGGCTATAAGTGTATGTCCTTACAAATCTCTTCAAGATGGAGTGCTTGGTTTTTTTGTTCCAGTCAAAGCTATTATGTTCGGCTTAGGGGTGGTTAGTACATTCTCTCTTATTTTGTCTCCCGAGAGATCGACGCGAGAGATCGCGCTGTTGTCAAACCGCGCTGAGAACGATTGATTGTTGACAAGTTATTACGATATTCATGTATTCCCGCTTGGACTACGGACTCTGGTGCAAAACGCGGGTTAACGTCATTAAACCCGCTGAATAATTTAATCGATTGCAAAATTACAAAGCCTGCAAATGACAATTTTTGAAGGTATTACATTGCTTTAGAGAAACATGCCAAGCCCCACCACACCAACAACTTGGCTAACCCGAGGTTGGTCAAATTTTACTTGAGGTAAATGAGATACAATATTTATCAGATTAAAAAAAAAATGCCCTACATTATTATTATAGGCTACTTCCCCGAGGTTGGTCAAATTTTACGAGTTAATGAGATACCATATTTATCGGATGAAAAAAAACTTGCCCATCATTTTCTTTCACCAGATTTTAATCGTGTTATGCATGACTAGAAACATGATTTATATCGATTCCCCTTCTTATCAAAGATACAGATTAACTAAGCTTTCGCATGGAAAGTTGTGACCTGCCATACACAAGGAAAGGTACCAGTAACAAACTAGAGTTTGCCATTAATAAAATTCAGCCAGGGTCTATTCACAAGGGAAATCTATACGGTTTCAAACAATAAACAATATAGCCAAACAATACAAGTAGCTATAATTACTTCTACACTGAATAAATACATAGGCCTACTTCAGTTGCAATTGCTCCGTAATGTTTAGCACCAGTAGGTAAATATTATTCGGGCAAGCCAGCCTTTTTTTTCCCCTTTTTGTTATACTAATGACATCAGGTGTCTGGTACGTGAGGCTACAAACATTATCGACTTGTTGACATTAAACTTGGATTGCAGGAAGTGTTTAATGGGAGGGAAATATAAAACCAAAACAAAATGCATCGTGTATTTTTTTCTGCAAGAGTACAGGTGCGAGACAGCAGATGATTAACGTGGTAAAATAATTTCCCCACCAATGCGTGCATATGCGCGCATCTGTGCAATCTGAGGCGATTAGTTTATTATTGGAAAATGGCCAAGTCTGTACGGATTGTACTTTGTGCTGGTAGTCACTAGTGAACCGCATAGAATAATTTCTGATAATTAGTCCCGAATACCAGCTGTGTCCATGATGTGATTGGCCCTATTGTTGGTTTGATGTTAATAACAGAAAATGCACCCATTTACTGCAGAGGATTATATTCGATCCTGCTCATATTTACTAGGTTTTGGGGAAATATGTCATCATCATGTAAAAGATATATTGTAATAAAGTGATTTTTTTTGTTTAATGGTGGGGACATAAAGCACCGCATGTAAACGACAGAAGACACACTGCAAAAACTCTGTTTGGCAATTAAACACTTTTCTAAACACTTTCTTGCTATCACTTTGTAAACATGGTTTAAAACTAAACATGTTTAGCGTAAGGATGGATGGTGTTTAGCCATTAAACGTTGCTGTTTAGGAATTGGACAGATAATGTTTAGCTTATAATCCTGTTTACAAAGTGATATAAAAATGTTGTTAAATTGCTAATACTTCTTGTAAAATCCAGTTTGTTTAAAAAAAACTGTGAGGAATATCACATATCAGGGAAAGGTCCACCGGACGACAATAAATATACTTTTTATACGCTTTTTAGGTTTTCTGTAACTGACGGATGGTTTGGTATTCATGTGCACGGGTAAATCCTGTCAATGCGCCGTGAAATATTGATAGGGATATCTACTTTCGTGCAAGATGTATTGCGACGAAGTACAAGATAGGAATTAACCATATTAATGTTTAACTATCGTTTAACTATCGTTTAACTATCGTTTAACTATCGTTTAACTATCGTTCTGTAAGTATTCAAAAAGTAAAAAGTAATGTCTTTTTTTTTCATTGAAATCTACGAATTAGGACCTTAAATTCGTGTTCCATTTGACGGTAATTTTTTTTGTAAACTAAAGTTGAGAAAAATGTTCTTTATCAACAAAAAGTAAGTTTTCCAATAGTCATTTGTACTTCTATAGTCTTTCTAACAAGTCGCTGTAAAGGTTTTCACCCGCATAGAGCTGATTTGCCGATGCAGCTGCTTTGCTTCAAAACGTGCCCCTTTTAACGTTTTCGTACTGCTTTTTTTATATGAAGACATCTGTGCGTATAGTACAAACAGCGATTTCCAGATAGTGTGCGGATTACAAAATCGACAGACGAGCATCTTAACCCAAATCTCGCTCGTATAAATAAAATATGATTCCGAGCCCCATTCTGCGCCGAGTACTTTAGGGACTGGCAAAAGGGCACAGACTTGTTCATGTTTTTCGACAATGGGGTGTTAATGCAGTTTTATTACCTTTGGGAAAGAAAGGTGGTGTCAAACGTCGGCACTCGGGATAGTGCGTCATTATGCATATTAACAGAACGACAGGAAAAGCCGGACACCGATAACCCTTAATTGTGCCAATAGATGCTACAGTTTGCACCCTTTCATGTTCAATCATACACTAATATCATATATACTGCTCGCCGATGATTTCTGTTTGAAATTGGGCCGCCCTCGGGCCTTGCAAGATATGCGCATCCACCCTTTGCGTGTGTCAGGTTTGGTTGGCAGGCAAGCATCTCGGGAATTGGGCAAAATAGGATTCCAAGTTTTGTAAAGTGTTGATCGGTATTAGTTACTGGGGAAATAACGGCTTAGCGCCCTGTGGGAGTGCTGCCTCACAAAGAAAGGTAATTACGGAATGAGGATTGGAGCCACGAAGAGCCAGGCTCCAGGGGCACTGGCTGAAATGAAATCGAGTTTTCTGTTTAATTGGACATTCTGGTCAAAGCGGCCGATCTGGTTCGGCCAAAATCAAATCTCACTTTTTTTTATACAGGAGCTGTGAATGCAGGCATCTGCATCAAAGAAACGAAGGGTAAACAGCAAGTGATGAATTGCATTGGAATTGCATTATAATGGCTGAAGACTTATCTAGGCCAACGCTCTGTCTCTTTGGACCAATTCCGTTTAAAAAAAAGGACGAGGAATCAGTCAACATGCATCAGAATGAGAAACAAAACAGAACGGGTACGTGATCTTGTTAACCTCTTATTTCGATTGAATGCTAGAAACTAGTCAGTCAGAGGTCGCAAAGCAATTTCAGATATTTGCTTGTATGAAATTTGTTTCACTCTATAACGAGGTTGCTGTGAAGTCAAGAGGAAGTGTAGCGCAGCCAATTGTTATTGTCTGGAGAGATGTGTAATGTTCACACAGAAAAAAACACTAAACAAATAAAGCCACCATAACCAGTCCGTCAATTGACACTAATTGGACAGAAGGCACATACATAGGGTGACCCAAAAAAATTCAACCCTAAAACATTTGCAAAAAGAGATCGGTGGATTGTTACGTTTTTGGTATCAGATTAAAGCTGAGAGCTCTTTCTTTCAAATACTGAAAACATCACGAAAATAGCACTTTGGGTTGTTGAGAAAATGCTAATTATGTAAAAGTATTCATTTTTCAAAATTACCAAAGTGAGGGATTTTCACTGTAGGCCTACCCATTTGAGCATGTCCTGATCCTTACAAACAACAAAGCACATAATATGACAAGAGTACAAATGAATTTGATAAAATACCTTTTTTCCAACTGAACAGGTATCTCATCCTTTCAGCATCATAAACATGTCAAAATACAAATTACACAAGGATAATTGCACAATAGGCTTACAGTAAAATGCTTCACTGTTTGAAGTACTTGTACAGGATGAGAAAATGACGAAACGCCAAAATGTGAAAAACATGGCCCTTCTAGGTTTACACTGTCAAATTCCCGAAGGTTTTCCTTATTTGTGACGTGTTTTTCCCCCATATTCTTAGCTTGCTCTGACTGGAAAAGTGGAAAGATCGTTTTCAAGGTTGTCCCCGATTTCGATAATGGACGTGAAACCCTGAATAATCCCCGCTTAGCTTATTGCAGCTTAGCACATAAATTAACTTACATTCACTGCTTAGCAGATTCATGATGTTCAGCGCTGGTTCCCGACCTACCTACCTGGACCAGGTGCCAGAAGCTGGTGGTCAGCGACACAATCTCGGTGATTTCGTTGCGCAGCGGACCGATGATCATGATAGGGTCGTTCGTCCGGTTGGAGACGTTAATCAGCAGCTCTTGAAGCAACTCGTTCACCGTCCAACCCTCGTTATTCTGCAGACAAGAAAAACAAAGGATGCTCATCTTAGATTGTACTTCAAGGCCAGCCTCGACTCCATGGGCGCGTGCGCGTTCCTTCACTAACCCCTGGCCGTGATGAACACATAGATATAGAATAAAAAGACGTCGAAACCTTATGTTTGAAAGGATTGACTCTTCAAAAAAAACAACTTTGGGCATTTTCAACATGGCGTCGCGCATTAGATACATCGACTGCAGTTCTAATTTAATGTGCCAATATTTGACACATTTAAATGACACAATTCCAGGGGTTAAGATCGCGCAAGGCATGATGGGAAACAACATGGCGCAGCAAGATTATACCCATAGAAACGAGGTTGCTTCAAGGCATATAGAATCATTTGTATTTATTGCAAAGTTCACGTTCCGAATTATTTTCAAAAAGCTTACAAGTGAATTAAAGATGCTTATAGTACCAAACAAGCAGTACGAACTGCTTGCTAAAATTTAATGAAAGAAATAACGTGACTTTTTTTTCCATTTTTTTGAAATTAAAGAATGCTGTTGACGAAATCGTGTTTCGTGATCGGAGTTTTGTGCATGGTTTTTCACTGTTGTCTCAAAAAGTGGAATATTCAACACGTTCGGTTTCCAACTACTCTTTTGTGAAGTTTGAGTGGTGTTTGTATTGGAAACAAACAAACTGTGAAGGCAATGACCATATATGACCTTAAGTCGTAGAAACAGTGAAATTTATAATTATAGATGCAACTGCCTCCTCATTACTATCAATCCTGAATGGCAGTTATTATCTTTTCCTGGCAGGCTATTCCGCCGACCACGATTAAGACATGACTGAGATGGTATACCGCGCGGAGGTTGTATCACAGGCCGACGCCAATAGGCTTTCAAAAACAAAATCCACGCATGAAATGCGCGTGGGCGTACGTTGGATCACCTGAGTATACTTAGAGTGATGGTTGGCAGTTAGATTTGCCGGATTGTCATTATATACACCAATCCAAATTGAAAAATTATCATTGATGGCTCTGGTATAAGGACGCGTCCATGCCTTGACGCCCATCACACGTGTGTTTCGTATGGGTGAGTACACGTCACTGACGGGGAGTGCATTGTGTGATATACCAAAACAGCAAGCTTTGGAGCGTCCCAGTAATGGTGGACAGCCAGCCCGTTAATCACAAAAAAGCGGGCAAATGGGATTGGTCAATAAGGCTATAAATAACGTATATAGTCAGTATAAAACCCCGCGGAGGCAGTGCTGGAGGCAGTGGTGGATCCAGGCGGGTTCTACCCGATATTCCCCAATACCTGTGTTCCCCAATATGTTCCTCAACCCTATTAAACGTTGGTAGTCGACATGTTGGAGTCCACACAAATATACACGTATACACTCTCTATTATAAAAACTAAAACTTTGTTAGAGAGACCAAAGACATAAAACTGTGAATCAAAGATAACGATATTGCATGTTTTGTTTCAGGAACTTAAGTTGTTATTTAGTAGTATGTAAAAAAAAATATATAGAACTGGTCATACGAAAGAAGGTTGGTTAGCTAGCCACGCTCACCGCCCCTTAAAACACGTCTTTAAAGCTATAGTCCATCATTTGTAATTAGTGTATTTTGTTCGTTTGAAGCAACAAAAGTTTTCAAAATCTAATGAAGGATACCGAGCAACTAACCTGATGAAGTTTTAGCTAAGCTTCAGCTGTACATTCCGAGAAAAGCAGCATTCTAAGATCTCAATTTCAAATCAAAAGTTACTGAATCATGTTTTGAATTGTTTTGAATTGCAGCTATACGCGGCGTCGCGCACTGATCCGACGAATTGTAACAACCGCGCGCGCGTGTGCGTCGTTCCAATACTTGTGCGCGCTGCGCTGAATAACAAAACGAACTACTAATTTAAATTTTCCTACGGTGCTTCTTAAGAATCACCGTTGGAAATGCCTTCTTTCGTTGATTACTTCAAAATGACAGCTTCCCAGAAAGAATAATTTCACAGGGAGTTTAGTTCCCTTATTATCTTTCAACCAAGTTTGTTTTTCAACAGTAATTACGCCAGTTACTTTTCGGATGGCTGCAAATGATGGACTATAGCTTTAAAGGCACGTGGGGACATTGGTTATAACGCTGAAACGGAACAACCGATTTCATGAGAAAAATCTCGCTCCGATTGAAGATAGGAGTGGTGCCAAATACCCTGTTAAATTATTCCGACTGAAATGGTATCGCTCGAAAGCAAACAAGCACTGAAGCGTAAAATGTAAAAACAAAGTGTGCCCGGGAGCACTTTTTTGAACATGTTACGAAACCACAAACAAATTTACATCTGTTTTCTCAACATGTGGTCACTGAGCTAAATCTTCCAAAGGTTAGTTGTTATGCGTCCTTCTTAAGATTATGAGCAATTTTGTTCAAACGAAATTGTCTTTTTTTGTGACCCACGTACTTCCTTTAAGGCGTATGGGTGAGAGGAATTTGTCTTTCATGTTTGGCACTGGGGCGAGCAATATTTTTACCATTTTCAGAATTCTTCACGCAGTTTAGAAGGGGGTAATGAAACTGTAACTAACAACTCGTGAGGGTCTGAAGATGTGTGGGTCTGAAAAGAACCGGTTGGTTAGGGTTATAGGGTTAGAGTTCACATCCAACTGGTTCTTTTGAAAACCACACATCTTCTCAAAAGAGATTCGTCCACGTGGTGTTACTGCAAACACTCACTAGTTTACACTACCGTCATGGTAACCTTCAAATCTTATTTACAACGGACAAGAAAGTCTGACCGCACCAAATGCGTCCATGTTATACGTTATAGACACACCCATGTTTAAAGCCTATAAAGAGCGCCCTCCTTGGAAGTTGTAACCCCAACACTCACTTCTTTCTCGAAAACAATATTGAACATATCCCTTTGTGTTTGATATGGATTGACACCACTGCACAAACCCAAATGAGGGAAAATCCTGATAAATTTAAGACTGCTTGCTTCAGGTACTATTAAAGCATTGCATTCAACATTACACCATTCTGGGAGCTGGGTACGAAATACGAAGAAGAAGAAAAAAATACAAATCTTTCAGTTTATTGCATATATAAACACTGTTTACGCTACCTCTTCAAAATGACCCTTTTCATTCATTTCAATCAATTTCGTTGATGAGGAACTATCATGACTGGCGCCAATGGCTAAATTGTATAAAAGGCAATTAACGAAAGAGCGAAGGTACCAGCAGAAATATGGCAGACAAAGGCGTTTCATAATTAACTCCTTATAGATATAGCTTCTGATAATTTATTCAAGCTAGTTTGGTTTCAGATAATTAAAAAAGGAGATGTTTTATGTAGAGGTAGTATACACAAATGCAAATCGATGGACACTATTATGTAAATGTAAATAACAGTTTAAAAAAATCTATAATACTGTGATTATTTGCATTTAATCTGATTGAAAATAACAAAACACAAACGCAGCGTAATCAGTTTCACAATCAGCCTGCAGGCGTTTCAACTCAAAACAGGACAGTCGCAAAATAATTAAGTTCTACGTAGAACACAATATCCATCTAGTCTGCCGCCAGTACAGCCTCACACCATGCAACACTGCAATTTGCAATATCACAAATTTACGGCAAAATGAGACAGTAACACTAACTTACAAGAATGTCATCCGCTTTGGCTTTCAGTTTTTGCAGTATCAAAGATATTTGATTACCTATTAACTTAAACAGACACTTGCGTCACAAATTGATCCTTTTTTTTTTTTGAGAACAACAGGCGTATGGCTCTGCCGCTCTTCAAGCCGATTTTACGATTAGCTACAGCAATGAAGATTAAAATAACTTGCATTTCATTTGCGTGAGCGTTTACCTTTCTGCATTTATTGAACGTGACGGACGACGGGGTTTTTTTTTAGGGTGGTGGGGGTTGCGAAGCACTCAACAAGACAACCATCCGTGCGGCTTCCTTTTTTTCCCCGGCTTAATTAATTGCTGTTGTCAATTGGTAAATGACTAGCGGTTGATTTTTTCTATCTCTCTCTCTGTCTCTTATCAGCGACGTAGTCGGACATCTTCAGCGAAGTGTGAATTCAATATTACGAGGAGGGAGAGAGGCGAGCGGGAACATTATTTGATTTGCGCGACCACGGTCAATCACCGATCACTGCCGATGAACGATGAACTGAACATTACAAATACTTACACTGCTGCAAAAGAGAGGGAGAGAGAAAACAAGGGAATTCGCGGTGTTATTCACGGTAAAAAAAAAAAGGGGGTAAACACTGTTTGGCAATGTTATTTGCTCAAAAATGGTTCGAAGTTACATCATTATTGGTTTTCGGGTAAAAAATGACAAACTATTGGGACGAATTTGCCCAAGACTGTGGGCAGTTGGTTATGTTGATCAACAATGGAAAAAATACCGACCCTTTTACCCAAATATCTTTATCACAGTGTGTGGTATCTATTCGACGAATTTACAATACCAAGACCAAAATGTTATTACAGTGTTTTATATTACAATGTCTTGTTTGGTCATTAAATGATTGCATAATTAGCAGTGAATGAACTGCGTTTACACTGAATTGGTCAGGTTTTTTTGCAAAACAAGTTAATTATGCTAAGACGGGTGTGTGAAATTGAATTTTGATAGAGGGCCTTCATGGCCTAATTTACGATTCCGCTTGAAAAATTACCAAAATAGAATTTGATTTTTTTTTTGTGCTTTGGATAATCTTTTGCGTTCCTTTTATCGGGAGGGGAAACTACTAATGGTTAATCCGTTTAAGGTCTTAAACTGCATGCTTTAATTAGGTTGGGGCTTCTTGTTCTCGAAAATACAGCACATGCGTTATGAGCACTTAACCACAGCGTAAGTGTAAACAACCTGTAAATATATCAATTTCATTTCCTTCCATTTCGATGCGAAACGGTGGTAAAAGATATGTACAAGTTTAATGATGTGCACCCATGCAGACACAATGAATTATGCAGGTTGATAATAATGGAAGCGGCGTCACGCGAACAGACAATTCGAGAAAAGGGAGTGGAGCTGACTCGCGCAAGCAAACGGACTCCCGCCGAATAGCAATCATCACCATTACCGTACCACCACTTGGGCATGACAAATTCGGACGCCAGAAATTGATAGAAGGCTATTCCACTGCCCTAGTTTTGGTTTCCATATGGTAAGATTGAATCTATACACAACCTATATCTTCTATTATACTCCAAGGGTTTCGCGTCCCAAACAAGGCCTCTTTTTTCCCCCTTGGCTTTGTCAGTCTATCGGCCAATCCGGGCTCACATTTGATCTTTTCCCTACCTTCCGCTCTTTCGATCCCGGGTAGGTCGATGGGAAAGGTGATGCCAAAAGTAATTCCCGGCCCCGGCCAAAGAGGGATGTGTCCTCATTTCGCCTGATTTAGCAGCCCACGGATTGGGTCGTACCCGGCTATTTATTATATGAGTTCCTACTGTGACAAGGCCAAATAGAGATATATCAGTCCGAAATTAGTAATCCGAGTAGCCACATGTCTACTTTTGCAATTTGCCAATTCCACAATACCTGTAATGAAGACTGCAAATAATCAGCCAAACAGGCGTCAGTTTTAGGCAAACAATGCGGGTATCTATAGTGTACAAAGGTACTTGGTAAAATTGATAGCACCGTCGCGGATGGACGATAGACAGTGGACGCCGGGAACACACAAAAGGTGTAATTATTTCTCAATACGCCAATTAAGCAAAAGTGGAATAGTATTCACATTGGAATGGCTTTTACGACTAAAGCTTTGTCACCAATACTGACATTGTGAATGATGAATGTGGGCATTTAATACCATTTTATGAGAAAAGCAGACTACGACAAGCCTTTTTAACGAGGACTCGACTAAATTTTAATGACATTTCTGTGTTGCATTTTTAACATCGCAGATCTTGAAGTTATTATTTTTCGACTTCCTATACTCAATGGGCTCACCAGTACATTCTTAAAATGATGGTCTTAATGGGCATAGCAGGCTGGTACCATTTTCCACTTTTGTTTTCTTTCAGTGAAATTAAAGTCAAAACTGCATGGCTTATTACACTTAAAACAAATATGAAGAAATGGTGGAATAATTTTGCATAGGCCGTCACAGTGGCAAATTATTTAACAAAATTATCATTGATAAGCCTACGACCAGCAAAACAATAAGCCAGTTGTCGCATCGCTGATAATTTCAAACCTGTCAATAAAGTCATCAAGAAAGTTAATATCTCGCGCTCTTAACCACTAGCCTTTTTGGTTTTGTTCAGCCAAAACAAACAAGCTGCCGGAGCAGTTTACGCAAATCTGTCTGGTTATTGACCAAAACTACAGGGATATTGAATACACGATAAGAAAAGGCCGTGTGTAGAAAGTAGGCTTATATAGATATCATTACGCATGAGTGGGTCATCGCAGCGGCATCAAAAACACGAGGCTGTCAACAACGTTCCCAGACCAAAAAAAAAAATTAAATGAACGACAGCATGCAGGGAGCCCTCGATGCAACCGCTAGAGGTTTGGTATGGAGACATTGATTGCTTGCTATGCGCAAAAATTAAGGGGGAACAATAAATTTATCAATTTTCAAATAGATTTGTGTTTCAAAATTAGCTCGTAGGTGACGATTCGCCAGAGCATGTTTTACTCCTTAAAGCAGTCGACAACCTTATTTTGTTTTGTTTTTCAACGACGTATTACCATTGATTTCAATGGATGTCTAGCATATCAACAATTCGACATGGCGTTGCTATTTTTGAAGTTGAAACTTCTGGGCACTCCTCTTTCGTGCCCGATTTCACGGTGCTCGCAAAGCAAAATATTGCTTGAATAAAACTTGTGGTGAGCCAGAAATTATCTAGGAGCCAGGCTCACAAGTAGCAAACATCATGTGATATTTTAAATGGGAACCTGTTTAGTCAGTAATTTCTGCACTTCGCAAATTTGCTATGCTTCATGAAATCCGCAAGGGTGGGATTTCAGCATGACGCTGTCAACAACTGACCCATCCTTAAAAGTCGAACATTCTGGAGACGCGACTCGCTATCCGTACAGTTCTCACAACACGGCTGTGAAAATGACTGGAAAACCCAGCCCATTTCTACGTGGTAATTTCTGCTTGTTCGTCAGTGGCTGAAGGCCCTTATTCCCTCTCTATCGTCTGACCTTTTGGCGTCTTGTTTTTTATCAATTCCTCAGGTAGCCACTCTGCCTGTGATATACGGCCTTGACGGCGAGCGCATAACGAGATCTATCAAAAATACGAGTCAATCCGGCGTGATGTTATCTGCACGTTTCTTCCCTTGGTGACGTCGAACGCCGGAAAAAAAAAACGAATCGGGCGTTTGCAATCAATCGTCAATAGTTTCTGGCCAAACAAAACAAAAAACAATTCCACGGGCTGGTCTTTTTGACGTTTCTTAATCGTTAATCTAAACCACTTGGATCGTTCAAAATTAATTGAGGTATAGTTTGTTTCTTTAACTCAAATTTAAACGGTGGCACTGACGACATTGGTAGGTGAAACTTCGGTGATGTGTGTAATTGTGTGAGCGTTTTTGTTTTCATTGAGCCAAAAGTGTAAAGTATTTCTACGGGTTACCGGGTCAAATCTGTATTGATTTGTTCTAATGGTTGTGTACGGGAGGAGTTTTGGTCGGACTGTTTTGATTTTACAGGTAACTTTACGGTAAGTCAACCGTGCCAGGCAATGATTTGCTCTCTCTTCTATCTTCACAGAATTCTGCGGAGGGAAATTAATATCCGGCAGCAGGAACTCCTCGTATTATTCTGTTCGTTCAAGCGCCGAGGGATTCTTATGCCACATGCATTATACGGTATAATCTGACTGCGGTACGACTTTTGAAGACTGTAATACCGCAGATTAGGATACGATTTGATTTGCATTCGTGAATAATTTTGTCTCTCTAAAAACAAATTTCTCTTGGAGAGTGGAGAAAGGTGTTTTGTTTTCGCCGGTGGATTTGGTACTGACATTTCGTTATCCTGTAAATTGTCTGTGGAGCACTGTGCGACTTTTCGACTGCTGATCCATCACTGCGGAAACAGCAACCAAAGTCCAGATGGCATATTAAAGCAGATTCTTGTAAACAACGGAAATTGTATCGATTCAGTACTAAAAAACAAAAGGTCCCTCAGTTGTCAAACAAAGAAATTGATACTGGTAAACACTCTAATAAATGAATTTAATATAACTGACCTCCGGGCTAATACATTGTGTGAAATAGTTTTCTTTCTAGAAATTTTATCAGATTTGACCACTTTTTGGAAAGGGCTGCTTTATTTTGACAAATTCAAACATTTTGTTGCAAATAAGGATCTTTACGTTACAGTGACGTCGATGTAAAATAAAAAAGTAAAAAAAACACAAAAAAGGTTGTAATATTGATTTCCTTTCAACCGATTTATTTATTTCAAAAAGGAATTTCCATTGGCGTTTCCAGGCTCCTTATTACTCCCGATTTCACAAAAATCAGACAACATCTACCGATCGTTTACTTCACAGTCTGAACTAGGAGATTTGATTTGCGTGATTGGCGGGACACGCACAAGATTGCACTTTTCAAACAGAAGAAGCACTTTCAAGTGGACAAGAACTTTCAATTGGAAAAGGAATGTCTGAATCTGATCATTATATACCGACAGGAGACGGAAATCAAATCAGGTCTCGCTCCGATAAGGGAAGGTACTTCGAGTTCGAGCTAAACCACATTCGAAATTTGATTTCCTTTTTTTCTTCTTCTTCATGTCGTCGTTCTCGCACAGAATATGTGCCGAAAATTGAGAGCTGAAAGCGACGCCACATAGACGCGCAGAAAACGAGTTTAGGGAATTCCGGCATGTATACAATTTCGACAGAGAGAAAGCTAAAATGGAGAACGGGAAGTGCTGTACAGGGCGAGTTAAAAAAAAAACACGAAACGCAAATGTTGGGAACATTGTTTTAGGAAAATTCTGCCTTTAGCACTTTCAGCTTTCTTTTAGTACAAGAATCATTCAGATCACTTATGCTTTTCAAGTTACGGAATTTTAAACACAACCACCGTTTTAAGGTTCTGTCCACGGATCACCAAAAAGGTGTGCGTTCTTTCAGCAAAACGAAAACAATTCACACACATCCCTAAGTGATTTGTTTTCGTTTTGCTGAAAGAACACTGAACTTTTTGCGATCCGTGGAGAGAACCTTAAAACGGTGGTTGTGTTTAAAATTCTGAAAACCTAAAAAGTACATGAGTGATTTGAATAATTCTTGTACTAAAAGAAAGCTTATGAATTGGGCTTTCATATTCTAGATTTTGAAACTGCTACATGCAGAACTTCCCTAAAACAATGGTCCCAACATTTGGGTTTCTTTTTTTTTTACTCACCCTGTCGTCGAGCTATCACAAGTCCATCACAACCCCGGTCACAAGTAATCACAAGTCCTTTCAAAAGTCCAGGGTAAGCAATAGCAAAACGATCATGCTTTTGGCACAGTTCATTAGAACTTCCTGTGACTTGACTGTATGACTTGTGAATGACTTGTGACGGACCTTTGAGTACTCGTGAGGACTTGGCTACAACACTGACAAACGGGATAGGGAGAGGGGTGAGAAAATAGAAGCGATGGGGGGATAAAATGGGGGGAAAAGTGGCAACTTACCAAGGTGTCCAGTTCGATCATTTTAAGGTTGAAATCGCTCAGGACGTCCGGGTCGGCGTTAACGTGTTCCAGGGCCAGCCTGGCCGATTCGCGGCAGTCCTTGCCGATGCTGGCCATGGACTGGTTCTCGTAGGTCGGGAACAAGCCCAGCAGGTAGAGATTCTCCTTGCCGGACGCTCCTTGCAAGACCGCCGTGGCAAACAGGAGTCTGATCACATTCTCCACCGTAATTTTCCGCAGGTAACATCCCATCGTGTCGAGACTTCAAGCAACAATGTAACCAAACCAATGGTCAAAATATAGCTGGCGGCTTGTGTGCAGACCGCTTTCTATAAAGCCGGCTTGATGCGATTGCAGTTGCTCGTGGGTAGAATCAACGCGAAGGTGGGAATCACTGACTGTCAATACGTCGGAAACTGTTGAGATTGTTCCAGATGGAAGAGTTTTACAAAGTGAGCTGACGGGGACGTAAGTGAAGCAACCCGTTGCAACTAAGCGCCAATTAGTTTCTCCACTCGCCTTGGTACGCTTATCACGGGGAGGAGCGATTCCGACGCTGTCGCATTAAGGGCAAGACTCGACAAAAACCACTTCCTTATCCCCGTCCAATTAGCCAGTAATCAAGAACCGTTCGTCCTGAGGGTGGCCTGCAGTGTGCGCGTCTCCTCACACCGTGTGACTGGACTGCTCCCTGCCTGCCCGTATGATTGCTGACTCCGTGTAGCCACTGTGTGCATGTGCTCCTGGGCTCCCCGAGCGCCAAAGCTCAATCGAATCTGCAACAGAACAGAACAGATCAGCGCATCAGTGATGAGCTTGGCGCGTGGTCACGCCCATCAGGTACGTGCGTTCTGATTGGCTGCCAGCGTCATAAGCTATTAATATTTAATACGCGCGTCATCCTGTGGTATAGGATTGCTCGCGCGTAACAACAGATATACCAAAAAAAGTAAGTACGGCATATTGCAGGATTTACGACAACCTTTGTACTAGGTTAAAATTGACAGGGATGTCATCATGAACCATAAACAGACCTACTTTGCACAGTGATTTTAATTACAAAAACATAAGATCACTTTATATCTTTGCTCTTGAAGGTTGAATGAAGAGGGTTTTGCCGGTGTCATATGAAAATCAGACTCGTATGAAAATTGGACTCTTTTTCCCTTTTATTGGTTAAACCCTCTCACGTGACCGGTCCCTCTCCTAATTATCTATGCATGAGTATGCACAATACCACCAATGAGTCCGTATTTCATCAAACTTAAATTCATGCTACACCGGCATCCCTTCTCTTGCTCAATCAAAGCTCAAGGCTGTCTACGATTTTTTCTTTTTTTTTCTGCTTACAGCCATTCATCGATATTTTCTTTCATAGCACATCACCGCCTCCTCTGACCGACAAAATAAATTCAGGTTAATCAAACGATCCTTGCATGTCCGCCGAGCATCCCTCGGGAGAACAGAAATCAGGGAGGGACGATTGATTTTTACTTCGGAAACAGAGTCTACCAAAGAAATGATTGTGAATTACATACCATGTACATTAACTCCGGAGACAAAATAGATTAAATGATTTGTTTAATGTTGGTTTAATAATTGTTATCAGCGAATGTAATATTGATGATAATTATGTTACCTATTTTGTCTTTGAAAGGGGATCGTGGATGAACGATGGCCCCGAAATGACATAGTGTTTTGTGGTAAACAGCGTACTTGCTTGCTCAAGAACTATGCAGCCAGTCAAATTGCAATATGTGAACAGGAGCCCAATTTAATAGAGCTTCTTGTAGCTATAAAAAAAAATGCAAATTTATAGTAACCTGTATTTTTGGTAAGCAATTTGTGTGTGCTTAGCAAGTATCTGTGGGAAGCAGCTGAACGACATTGACCCGGCTACGTTTCAACGACTTCTCTAGTCATTTCAGCTCAATATGGCGATATGCATCGTTAAGCCTGCCCACATAATAATTTATGCCAAGTGCACGGTCCGCAGACTTTCCTGTAAGTCATGGTCGACGGTTGCGGTTGACGGGTTCATTAACTAACGCAGTTAGTGCGGCTATTGGTCAATGTCATCTGCATGTCAGGTCCGTTTGAGTTATTACCAGCAACGAAAACCCAGAAGCACTGAGAGTTAGGCGGGGTCCAAAGTACTTGGCTATACGGCATGACGTGTTACACACGCACCTACGGAAGCGGCTGCAGCCCCTTCCCATATAAAGCGTATTACTGCCGGTCATAGCCAAGGTACTCGAGTTCATTAATCGCATGCTCTTTTTAGCTGCGGGATAGCAGCTCAACAAATCATCATATCTCACCGTTAGTCCGTTAGTTAGTTAGTAACAAACATTGACATTGTCTATTGCTCCTAATATATTTTGACCGGTTTCAACCAAACTTTGTCAAAAGTATCGGTAGACCATGAGCAAACTGGGGTCAAAGGTCATCATAGGGTTACTGGGGTCAAAAATATGATTTTTTTTTTAACTCAAAACATACTCCTTCCAGAAATTACATGGTACAATCACGTGACTCACACTGCAAAAACTGCAGTGTTAAATTTACACCATTGGTTTCTATATAGGACCATCTGGTGTTAAATTTTACTGGTGTTGTCCTATATAGATACCGAATGGTGTTAAATTAACACTTCAGTTTTTGCAGTGCATACATGAACACAAATTCGTTTGCCCGCAGCTTCCGGGATATTTCCGATCGAGCTTGTTTCTTCAACAATTTTGTTTCTGTGTTTTCATATCCTTCTGTGTAATTCAGTGCTTTTGCGATTCGAAGTCTTACTCGGTGCAAAATATAGAAATTTTCCCTCTTTCTTTATAAAAAAAAGAATTTCACTGAACGAACTGCGATGACATACTTGCATGTCCATTGCTACATATTATAACCTTGTAAATTTGCTCTTCCTCCCATAATTGTCCTTTGACACAGAGATTGCCGAACTGGTCAATTTAACGTTGTAGAACAGCTATATTTAGGCACTGGCATGTGCCACTTCAAAAGCAAAATCGCACTCAGTGGTATAATAAACCGAGGTTTATTTTATTACTGTAGGAGGTCGTGCACTATTAAATTAGTGCAGGACTTCCAAGTTTAACCATAATTGATATTGCAGTTCGACTCTGCTAAATTTTTATTGTGAAATGTGTAAGTTATTCACAGATGATTTTATTTCACATGACAATTGAGGCCAAGCTAAGGTAAATATAAATCAAATATTAAAACTGGCCATTCAAATAATACAAGTAACAAAATATCAAAAGAGAGTCAAGCTGGTATAGGTACAAGCCGGAAGGGGGACTTCGTTATATATACCAATGAGGGGGAGAAGGAAAGGAGAAATCAGTATAATTATTACGATTATATTTTTTATGCATATTCGCCATGAACAAGGCTAAAAGCCACCAAAGATACAAGGCTGCAAGAGTAATAAAAAGAAAATTGATAAGACAGTTTAACCATTCATATTGGTCGAGAGCCCGTCACGTAACCGGTTTAAACGGGTGATAAAGACCGGCTGGCCAGTCTTAACACTTTTCCCAGTGTCACATGAAATTTGGACTCCTATGACATCCAGTGCCATTTACCGTTTTATTGGTTGAACGTTCACAGTCCTCAAGTAGGCACGCGCAATACTGCCAGTGAGTCAGTATTTCATAGTCCTAAATTCACAACACACCGCCACAGCTGCATTCTGCGTCACAGGCGCGTCACAGGCGCGTCACAGGCGCGTCACAGGCGCGTCACAGGCGCGCAAATCTCCATATAAAGAGTTATTTACGGCTTACTCGCGAGCTGGAAATCCCGTTTTATAGCTGGTGGGGTGTTTTAAAAAATATGAAGTGAAGTTGGTGAACAAAATCGTTGGACATTTAAAATGTTTGACTTGCTTGACTTTTCGAACGAATAGTTTTGATTTTTTGACCGAAAAGGTATATATAAATGGGAATAAAATGTGCTTAGTCGGTATTAAACACTCTGTTTAAGACCGGTTAGAGTCTGGATGCTGATAAATACCCGAACCGAAGGGTATTTATCAGCATCCAGACTCCAACCGGTCTTAAACAGAGTGTTTAAACCTCTCAATCACACATGTATTCCCTTAGTAAGTGTACATGTACTCAGGAAAGGTAAAGGTAAGAATTTATGTTCCTCTTGAAACAGGTCAGGGAAACATGGAAGAAAACAAGCAAATAACCAAAATAGAGGGTGTATAAGAATACAAAAAAAAGCATTTTTTAAGTACAATGACAAGGAGACAGCGGATTACCAACAAGGTCAATACCAGAAATATACCCCAGTGCAATCTGGGCACGTCTCCATCATCCCAGTGCATCATCATCCTATTGCATTCCCCAAATGTCATTCGCAAAGAGTTATAAATCATACCAAAACAAGACACCCAAAGTTGCCTGGAGACGTTCCTGAATTGAAAGCTGATTCAAAATAGGCAAACATAGTGTGCAACGGACATTTTAAAATATTTATTTTAGCACTTACGGCTATGAATAACACGCACTTTACCAAAATGATGAGCCAGCTGTCATGACAGTATTTGTTTGTATATCTTTGCAGAGTTGACGGGCAAAGTGCAAATTGCACTTTGTTCCTTTTCTCTTGGGTACGATGCCTGTGTGTTATCATCTGCAGTGTACCCACTATCTGATAGATGTGTTGGTATTAAACTGGCATTCACCTACCGTGTTTTTGCCGGGGAATTGTACACGGTAGCACGTAGCGAGGCCTAATTTATAGTCTCCGTTCCCCGTCTATTATGTGCGCAGTAATGCGACAGAATACACGGTTAGTACACGTAGGAGGACACTTTGGCTTCTAGGACTTGCCGTAGTTTTGTCAAAAAAGCCCGATTGTATACTGGGTTCGCGATCGCTGGGAGTAAAAACAATTGAGAAATGATAGCGGTATCAGCCTATCTTGGTAGGCCGGGTCTGTTGCATCAAATTTGAGCGAAATCACCCCATGCGCATATCTTGTATCTAGTAGAATGGAAGATTATAACGAGTTATGTATTTGAAGTCAAGGCCAGTTCTGGTTACACTAATTTACGCTCGTGTTGTTTATATCTTCATGTTTACTGTATGACTACAATATACTAGTAATTCGCCTACTAAACGAATTATTATTATTTATTATTTATTAAATGGGATTTCTAAAGCCCCATTCCATCCCGAACGTATGACCTTCGCCGTGGGGTCTTCGTAGCGAGAGGTTGTCAACCATTCGAATTCTACGGGTGCAGTGTCTGTTTCAAAATGCGTACCGGACCAACCAGCTTTTCAAATATGCTTTTCTGAAGGAACAAAATCCTAGGAAGCTTTAAAGAGATCGGAAGATACGAACAGACCAACTACAGTGTTAGTATTAATCTGAATTATCAGGAGAAATTGAAGAAAAACAATAAACCGTCGTTGCTTTCCTGTTTTTATCGATGTTCTGATAAAGGTACCTGTAAACAAGACCTTTTTGCAATATGCTATTGTCAAATGCTCTCCATTCTGATTTAATGCGCTACATCTCCATCTCAAATGCTGGGGGCATGGTTTAACACGAGCAAATGATAGCCAGCACTCGGAGGCATAGGCATACTCAGATTGAGAACTATCACGTCACAGAGGTTCTTTTTTTTTTTTTAGATAATCAATTCAACTGGGTGACAGCTCACTGTGAATTTTGCTCTTGGCATGTTAAGTATACTGGTCAGCGGGCACGCACTGCTGACCATAATTCTACC